GATGAGCTTCCGGGGCAGTGCGAGGGGCGCTACGGGCGGAGTCTGCCATAGTATTATAGGCTTGGTGGATTTGAAAGTGAGAACAAGTGTCTGCAGTGATGCCGCTGGTCGGCAACAACTACAGACAGGAGGCGATTGTGGAGAAGCAGGATCCAAGAAATTGGGACAAAGGGTGATCGGCAGAATGATAGATCCAGACTCCGCGACGGATCCACCAGACTGGTGGATCGGGCCCCGTACCAGGTGTTAGTGATTGCAATGGAAGACACTACGAATACGACCGGACGTCACGAATGTGTGGCCAAGCAACGCCATGCCTCGAGACCCAAGATCCAAGAGATGCAGCTGTCAAGTGGATCGGCGATCCGATCCAATCCAGATCTGATTCTGATTCGGACTCAGATGGAAGTGAGCGGTGGATCTAAGGTCATGGCGCAGCGAAGGTAATCAAGCGACACGCAAGGAAGGTGAACAAGCTTCATAGTGTCAGTAGGTACAGATGGGATGACAGGATCCATAGGAAGATAGGACTTTGGGATGGGATTGGACATAAGCATAAATCAGACTCGAATTTGCCTTATACATCGCAAGTGCCTTCGCCTGGAAACGGGAAGTACATCGGCCCCACGGCTTAGCAAGGTTCTGGTAGTGGATCTAGCGTTGGTTAAGACTGGATAATACATTGGCCAGTTCTACAACCTTCCTAGTGACCTACTTGCAAGTGCAGATCCCCGATCCACCCGGAGTTACTACTTGGCCGGGTGCATCCTCGACTCTCAGCATCTACGGATCCCGCCACAGGAAGCGGCAAGTACGACAAAGGAAGACCTGCGAAGGCAAAGGAAAGGAACAACAACAACCCAAATGCAACCCCACGGCCGGATCCAGATCCAGGCCGCCCGATCCAAGTCGACTACCACTGGATTGGGAGTAACTACTGCGAGCAGAGTGAAGATTTCAGCGCTGCTCCACCCACATCCCCGCGTCTCGCCCAGACTCTCCTGTCTTCAAGACTCGGACGCTTCAGCAGACACCAGAGGAGCAGATCCAGCCCTACACAAGGTGACCAGTTCAGCACACAGATCACGGATCATCGGGGGACCCCCTCCGTAAGTCGGTGTTCGGGCGCAGTTGGTAAGTTGGATTGGCAATCTCGCAGATTTTGCTGATCCTGCTACGCCACAACGAAGTCCCCATTAAAATGACTTGGTACCGGTATACCTCTCCTTACTGTAGTGTCCGGTGATTGATTGGATAAATAAGTAGGTTTAGGGCTGCAATGTATAGCAGGGCGGGGCCCTCGACCTCCCCAAATTTTACTTGGGTATAGTGGGCTTTTGGACCCCTCGAATCGAGGGATCACCAGCCTTTTAACAAGGCCGTGCTCTGCCCGGAACAGCTCTGGATTTTACGTCGCTCTTGGGCATATAAGTAAAAAAGTTAGTGTACTGCGGCATCTTGTTTCTACGTGCCAATGGCAGAAAGGAGTAGAGATATGGTATTGGTCGAGGGTAACCACAATTAGTTGAATTAACGGATTTATACGAATAGTGGCCGTTGTTGAATTCACTAGAGGTTTGGGCTGGTAGTGCATTTTTGAAGTACTTCAGCTCTGACATTTTTAAGTGCAATTCGAAATAAAAGGACGAAGGAACAACATAGTCTCTCCCTTTAGCCACAAGCGAAACAACCAAGTATTCACAGAGCTAGAGGTATTGATTACCGGACGTACTGCTGCGGTACTAGGGCTTCACGTAGGCTAGGATAGGTAAATGACAGTTTTTTGTTTTTCAGAAAGCCGTTGCACATACATAGCTTATTTAACTACCTGACAGTAGCCGAAAAAACAACTAAAACATCACTCAAACCAACGCTTACTGATTCTCTTATCCACCATATCATCGTCCATAATAAAACACAACCTGCTCAACATGAATTCAATCAGCTGGGCAACGTTAATGGTGATCATGCAGTAAGGAGATCGCAAACTGAGTAAGATGGAATCTGTACTTCCAGCCGACCGATCAAGTGCACGAATTAAGACCGTTTGATACTGAATAGGAAGGTACAAAAAATCATTTGGTTATACTTCGGTAGTGTGACCCGTACGACCCAGAGTTCGATACTGAATAGGAAGGTACAAAAAATGATTTGGTTATATTGTAGCAAGCTAGCGACCCCGACGATCTTAACGATGTCGATGTTGTCTACGTAGATGTAGCCGCGATTCTTGACGATTCCTGTCGAGTTGAACGGGGTACCGAGCTCCATCAATTTACTGGAACGCGTTCTCGAGAGACGGCATCACCTCACGGCCCCGGTGCTTAAGCTGCCTGCGCACGAGGCCTGAGTCGCATGACCTCTGGGTCTTCACTAATGATGCCGGACCTAATGGCTCTTGCCACAGGTCATAGCTAATCATGTAGCTGCCAGTGACCGATGCTTTCGTCGTAATGCCTAACTAATATTGTGAAAACCAAACACTATGTCCAATTTTTTTGCAAATCGATCGATTTGGGTGCTTATTAAGCGGCTGACACCTTGTTTTGTTATATATAAATAGGATTATACTCCGATTTGGCGTTCCCCAGCCCTGTTCATATACCGCGGACTGCCGTCGATTTATACTCAAATCACGTCGAATGCCCATGTGAGACTGCCAGTGTCACACTGGGTATTATGAGGGTAGCTCGTTTATATGAACGGTGCCCCATGTCAACGTGGACGGCAAACTCGACGCTGCCGTATACATGAAACACCCGATGGGTGCATGCAATATGTGTCTGCGTCTGAACTATTCACGGGGCTGAAATACGCTTGCTCTAGCCCGCTGCACGATGCAGTGCACCTCTGCGGCCATTTATATAGCACAGGAAGCTAGGCTCTCATTAGCATTTGATAGGGATTTGCACATGGACGGTTTACGACCAACGCTACGATTTAGGATTTGGCGTACCCGTTTTTATATATATTCTACCCCTCCTAATCAAGCTAATCTGGTCTGGACATCTTTGCCGGCATGTTGTTGGAGCGAAAAAAAATCCGATGGATGTCGCTTGAGTGGCAGATAAACTATCTATCACAGGTATATATACTTGATTAAAGGGTATGCAAAATAATAGGTAATTTGACTCAATCTCAACCGGATGGGTCAACATAGCAGCATAATTTGATTAGATCGCAGGCTATCCAGTATAACAGGTATTTTAGATATTAGCATCAGCAGCGCTCAAACACATATTTAGCAGGTATTTGATGTGAGAATAATGACACCTCAGTGGCCTTCACCCATGGACTCTGGATAAAATCCAGAGAACAGTCTTTTAGTAACGCTATGCTTTGTTGAGGGCTTTAAAGTAATGGGTGCCTGCCAAAAGGGTCATAACGACCCGGAGTAAATGCAGCAGAAATGCTCGGTATAAGCTAACATAAATCTCGTGAGACCGGAAAATCGTCTCGATAAACTGGCGGTTATGCCGTGTACCCATCTTAACGACTTACTACGACTTTGTATTTAATATGTCGACCATCATTCTTGTGAAGATCGCCTGTCAATGACAGGCTGTCATATATCTTCTTCCACCAGCCGCTTGTGAATCGCGCGTCGAACAGCGCCCAGGTCCTTGTTGTAGCTCACGTAGGCCTCGCACAGCACACACAGAGCGTCGCACGTATCATTCTGGAGCTCCATCACCGCAGCAGCGTGAGCAGAAGAGTGCTCATATCGTAATGAGCATGCTGAGATAAACTGCAGTCTGCAGAAAGATCTAGCCATATGAATGTCCGGAGCAAAGTGACGCTGTAGGGCGAATAGAGGTGGTACTTGGGCATTTGTAATCGGACGGAGTTGTTGTCGATAAGCATGTTGTGGCGGGTGCAACTAGGCTATATGTCGACATATCTACCCGCATATCTGCGGTAACTATGTTAGGTCCTTATGACCCTTTTGGCAGGCACCCAATGGTACATAAGTGCACGGCGCCCCTTCGTCTCGCGGTATTACGGCGGTATGTTTGCCTGCTGCGCTGGCTGCCCGAGCTACACCTTTGTGCGGCCTACTTCGTACCAACGTGCAATCAAATCCGAAAGTCGCAAAATTCATATTGCAAATTTCTAGTTAGCAACTTCAATTACGCATTCAAAGATGGAATTACGGCAATCAAAGTTGGACCAGAGGTCCAAGATCTCCATGGCTACGTAAGCTGGCGTGTTGTGCTCGCGCCAAAAGCAAGGGCGCGCGGTTTGGCGCGCACTATAGCCGACGCCGACCGAGGGGAGCTCACTTCGCAATTCGCCTTCTTCTTCGCAGATGTCCCTCCAAGGCCGCGTTACTCGCCACACCGTCCTCGAGAAGCAGCGTCCTAAAATCCCGCATTAAGCGAGACTTGGCTCTGGATCGCCACGCAATCTACGATCGCTCGCGTGAGCCGGACAGCAACGGTGAGATCCTCTCCATCTCGGAACGCCAGATGCACATCCTGGAGCGCGCCGCGACCGCTAACATGAACGTGATGACCCCAGCGCTGGAGGCCAGCATGGAGCTGCACTGTCGCGACTTCGCCACCAAGGCGGCGAACAACGAGGACATGGTGTACGGCATGTAACAGGGCTCGTCGGACAAGTAGTAGTAGCCTACTGTACGAATTTGATTGCCGTAATTCCATCTTTGAATGCATAATTGAAGTTGCTAACTAGAAATTTGCAATATGAATTTTGCGACTTTCGGATTTGATTGCACGTTGGTACGCACAAAGGTGTAGATAATCCTTTTGCTTTCACTTTGGCATCGCGCGGAGCCCCTCTCAACATTGTGGTAGCGAGCTATGCAAGCAGACCCCGGTAAGGCTGACCACCTGATCATGAACTAGGTTGGGCACGCTATGTTTTGCTGGGTTGTGAAGCCAACAACGCTGTTTCATCCGTAGGGCGAGATCTTAATTAAGAGATACTTGTATCGAGACATCGAATGCTGAAGACCAAGAGAGGGGGCTTTCGCTCCCACGCTCGTAGGTCTGTTGAAACCTAGAACCGCTGGCGAGAACCTTTCTACTTGGTTGGAAATGGGGAAAACCTCAGACGACGTGTTCAAGTTACTGAAGCTGGACGACGGGGTGGAGAATCTCCTCGCCCACCCAAACATGAACACGTGGGCGTCCTACGTGGAGATGTTGAACAAGCAGAGGCCGGGGAAGGAGGTGCCCATGCTTGAGACGATGACGAAGACCTACGGAGACGCAGCAGTGGCCAAGATGATTGAAGAGGCGACGAAGTTTTCCAGCACTGAGACCATGGCGAGGGCATTGAGGAGGGAATTACTCGAGGGCTGGTCCTCTGCTAAGAAGTCCCCGGATGAAGTGTTCAAGCTGTTACAGCTCGACGAGGGGGTGGAGAACCTTCTTACGAATCCGGCTGTGAACATCATGTTGCTTTACGTGAATGCGTTCAACATTGAGAACCCGGCCAAGAAGACAACCTTGATGAGGACGATCATGACGGCGACCACCAAATAGGCCGATGCCATGGTGGCAAATGCCCTCAAAGCCGGGAGGAAGGTCAAAGCTACAGAAGACCGGGCAACAGAGTTGCAGGGACTGCAGTTCAACCGATGGGTTGAGGCAGGAATCAAGCCACGGAAAGTCATCGGGTCGATATTCAGCACCAAACACCGAGGAGGCGATTGCGAAGCAGTACGCAGTGTACTACAAATAGCAGAAAAAGTTTATCCGAGCACGAGAAGGGTGGTAGCAACCATGGCGCATAGTGCACCCAGCGACCACATCATTTTTCTGTGTCAACTTTAAACAAAAACACAAAGTTTCTTTTTTTTCTTTATTTTTGCGGTACAGATTCTTGGAGTGCAATGACTTCAACAGTACGGGTATGGCAATCATACACTGCAGCGAGATTACAGCCGACACTGACGCTGCGTTGAGAGAGCTCGGCCCATATTAGTTAGTATCTGGAATTTCTTCAGGCAATACCACTTACTACGTACTAGTTCGGGCACATTTCCTTCCTTCGGCGGGGAGAATCGATTGTTCAATCTCTCACTGTTACGACCCTGAGAAGTACTACTACTACTGTTACCTAATCGACGTGCTCTATCTCGTACCGGTGTTATCCGAAGCGAACTTTTTTCACCGGTTTGACGTCAGCTTTCTTCCTGCGAGTCAGCGATGCAGGTGATGCCGGGCTCTTGATGTAAATGTTCATGTAGTCGAGCAGCAACTGTTTGTAGCGCGGGTGGAATGGATCCACTTTCAGCTTACCCTGGACATGCCCCACGGTGTATTGATTCTCGCTCCAGCTCTTGAGCAAGTCGACTCGGAACTTCTTGTCGCCCAGCGCCCTCATCAGGTCCTTTTTGCGGAAATCGTTCATTTTCTTCTCCAAACCGGTCAACTGCTTCAGCACGCTTCCGATGCTTCTCTCCTCGGCGCCGTGAATTGACTCATAGGAGCGTAAGAATCGGCTACTACTGGCACTGTTCGCAGCTGCGTTTCCTGGGTGAGCTTGGGTGATATGTGCCGACGCGAAATCACATAGCACCACAAGGGTGGTCGCGGCTAGGAGTATTCGCATGTCGAGTTTCCAGTGTGTGTGTAGATTGAGTGGCGGAAGGTAAATTGGCGAGTGGGGAGGATTTCACCTGGCTGGACAGAATTCGACGGTCGACGACGAGTGATTAGTACATGCAAGGATGTGCGAATCATGCGGTACTGTACTGCACCGTACGTACGCTCTACTCAACTCATGTCAGTGCTGTGTTATCGTCCACGAAAAAGGATCTCGCGGACAGGAAACCAGGCTACGCAGCGCTGTCGCTTGAGCCGGCGTGCTCCGGTTCGCCTGTGCCCAAGGAAGGAAAATCAGAAATGAGACCATTAACTTGGTGAATGTACAATGTTTTCATTTGAGAAGCGCAGAATGCAGGGGGTTCCTACGGTAAATAGCCTAGACAGAATACATGTATATGCATTGAAGTTATTTGGTACCATGTTTGAACGAGACCACCCGACTATTCAGTATCTTGCAGCGTGCTGGATGCAAGCAGTGGTGCAGACAGCGTCTGCTCCGTGGGCAACATAGCCTTCGTCTTCCGCTCCAGTGCATCATCGGCGACAGTTGGAGGCGTGTAATATCGAAGCAGCAGCGACGAAATCACCACGGACACGGACGAGAGCGCCATCGCAGCGCTGGCAAACATGGGCGGGATACTAAACCCAACCGGGTACAGCACGCCGGCAGCTAGCGGGATCAACAGACAGTTGTAGCCGAAAGCCCACACGTAATTCAGTCGGATCCGGTTGAAAATCGTGCGAGACAAGTGCAGCGCAGTGATGACAGCGACCAAGTTGGACTTCATCAGCACCATGCCAGCCGTTTCGACTGCAATCTCCGTGCCACCGCCGATGGCGATGCCCAAGTCCGCCTGAGCAAGTGCAGGGGAGTCATTGATGCCATCGCCCACCATGGCGACAATGCGGCCCAAGTCCTGCAGCTCTTTCACTTTGGACGCCTTCTCGGACGGAAGCACGTCGGCCATCACATTGTCACGATTCATCCCCAAGTGCTCGGCGATAGTGAACGCTGTTCGCGTATTGTCGCCAGTGACCATCCAGACTTCCAACCCCATCGTTCTCAGCTTTCTCAGAGTACGAGCTGCCTCTCCACGTGGAGCGTCAGCCACAGCGAACACACCGCTTAGTTCCCCGTCGACGGCCACGTAGATCGACGTCTTGCCGGCGTTTTGAAAGGCGATTACAGTCTGCATGACTTCGATGCGGTTCGCTCCTTCGACGTCATTTTCTTCCATCCACGCTTTGTTGCCAATCATGATATCCCGGTCGCCCACGCAACACAAAATGCCCTTCCCTGAAGCTGCACGGAAATCCGTCGGCTGCTCAAGAGGCAACGACATGGACTTGGCGTAGTCCGTGATGGCCGCACCCAGAGGGTGTTCACTTCCGCGTTCTGCGGATCCAGCGAGGACGGCCAGCTCCTCCGCGTCTAACGTTGAGCTGAGTGGATGCACATCCGTCACGACAGGCTTCCCCACCGTCAACGTCCCCGTCTTGTCGAAAATGATCGTGTTCACATTGTGAGCAGCTTCCAGTGGTTCGCCTCCTTTGATCAAGACCCCGTGTGCGGCTCCGACACCCGTACCGACCATGACAGCAGTGGGCGTTGCCAGTCCCAACGCACAGGGACACGCTACGACCAGCGTCGCGATGCCAAAGTCCAGCGCGAACACAAACTTCCCGTCCGAGTTGGGGATCCAGTCTTTGGGAATGCCATCCCGAGCACAGAGTATGTGCCACACCGCGAACGTCCCCAACGCAAGCGCGACTACCACCGGGACGAAGATGGAGGAGATGTAGTCGGCGTAAGCTTGAATTGGGGCCTTTGAGGCCTGCGCGTCCTCCACAAGTCGAATGATCTGACTCAACGCCGTGTCGGTGTCGATCCCCGTGACTTGCATGTGGAACAGCCCTTCCACATTCAAGGTCGCCCCCAGCGCGCGGTCTCCAACGACTTTCTTTACGGTCTTGGACTCACCAGTCAGCATGGACTCATCCACTCTGCCTTCGCCATACACAACCACACCGTCCGTGGGGACCGAGGATCCACGCACAACCTTCAGGACGTCTCCACGCTGCACCAATTCAATCGGCACTACTCGCTCTTCGATGATGTGTGATCCGTCCGCGCTGAAGATCAACAGCGTGGCCGACTTGACCTGCAACTCCATCAACTTGGTCAGCGCCGCCGACGTTTTCACCTTCGCAGTCGCCTCCAGGAGCTTCCCCAGCACTACAAACGAGATCAGTACCGACGACGTCATGAACATGTCCAAGGTCGCAACCTCCGCGTTGTCCAGCGCGATGGCACGAATCACAGTAAACAAGCCGTAGAAATACGCCACATTCGAGCCCATCGACACCAGGAACGCCATCCCCAGCACGCGGTTCCTCACTCCTTTCCAAGCGTCGACGTGGAATCGACGAGCTGAGTAAAACTGGACTGGGGACGCGAGAATCGCGACGGCCAATGCCTCACAGGAAAGGCCAGGCACGACTTCCGACATTAACCCGTGCTTGACCTGTGCGATGTTCTCGAACACCAGCATTATCAGTAGGATTGGGGGCGTGAAGACCAATGCAGCGAAGAAATCGGTGCGATACTGTGAGATCTCCCTCATGCGCTGATCTCCGAGAGCCTGTAGCGCATTGGCCTCAGTCACGTAGGAAGCCTCGTACCCAATGTCCTCCACCGACTCGATCAGCGTCCGAATGCCGACCACGGACTTATCGAAGTGAATGGCAGCCTTCTCGGTCGCCAAGTTTACAGAGGCGGATAACACGCCTGGCGTGCTCTTCAGCAGGTTTTCGACTGAGTTGGAGCACGAGCTGCACGTCATCCCGCCGATCAACAGTGTTGCGTCGCCCATTTCACTCTTCTCGTCCTTCGGTATGCACGAGGAGGCTTGGTATCCGACATTCTCCACAGCTTTAGCAAGCGCTTCGACACTCATAACATCCCTATCGAACTGCACGACAGCTTTCTCAGTCTCTAAGCTCACGGATGCAGAGACGACGCCCTCTGTGCGCTTCAAAGCACCCTCGACGGTGTTGGCACACGAGCTGCACGTCATTCCACCGATCAGCAACGTCACTTTGGCGATCGCGCTCTTGTCCGCCTCGTCGATTGATAGCGAAACTTCTCTCGAGTCATTATCATGGATCCCTTGAGCCTTCACGCCACTTGAGTGCGATGCTTGAACGAGGCGAGCGTTGAACTTGGGCCCGACACTACGGACCGCCTCCAGTAGCATTTCATCGTCGAATTGGCGGTCAGATGCCACGTCGACAGACGCGTTGTTGGAATCGAAATTCACAGACGCCGCCACGACACCTTCCACGGCACTGAGAGCTTGCTGCACCTCGCAGTTCTTGGCACAGCTCCTGCCATCGATCGAAAGGAGAATGGTGCGTGGCGCCATTGGCGCTGATTGGCCTTCATTCATCATCTTTGAGCTCGTTCACACACCAATGCAAATTGTGCAATGGGAGACTTGTAGGCCAGCGGCGCGCGGAACTGGGCCAGCCTTTGACCTTGACCCGCGACCCGGTATCACCTTCGTTCACGTCATCGAACACGTCAACACGCAGAAAGAATTTGACACGAGTGTGGATGCGGTACGGCTGAGACGAGGCGCTTGATGGCGCGTAGCCGTTGACCCGGGTCGAACCTGCCACACTACAGCAGCACGAACAGCAAACGAGTCTACATGAACAAAACCGATGTTTAATTGGCCGCGCGCGGGGCGAGCAACGAACCTACTTTCCTGATCAAAACCAGCTCATAACGATAGCCGATCCATGTCGCCCGAGACTCGCCACAGCTCGTCCAGCGTCTGGAACTCGTCCATCTTGAGGTCCGACAACCGGCCGACGTCGCCGATCTCGTTCAAGAACACGTCAAGGCTGCCCCGGCCGGCCAGGTTGCCGCCGCTGCCAGAGTTGCGCAGCCGTCGAGCGGCCGACGCCCGCGCAGCATCGATGCTGAGTCTCGGCTTGACCTTCTTGAGCGACGGCTCGTTAGATCTGTTGTCGCCATCGTCGTCCGTGTCGTCGTTAGATTTGGTGGAGCCAGCGTTGCTGCTGGGCATCGGCGGCCTCTGGCCAGCTTGGAACCGCTGCGCGAACGCCGCCGCAGGGTTGAAAGGTCTCTGCGGGCCAGCGTAATGCTGCTTGCTAGAGGGGTGAGGCTGCTCCTTGCGCTTCTGCTGTTGCTGTTGCATCTGCATGAACGCAGCCACGGGGTTGCTGTTACCAGCAGACGGAGAGCTCTTCGCAGCTTGACTGCGAGCAAACATAGCGGCCGGGTTGGCCATCGGCTGAGTAGAAGGCGCGGGCATTTGCGCAGATCGCGGCTCCTCCTTGGCTTGCACGCCGTTGTGGATCGACTGCTCCTCCTGCGACCGACGCGACGACGGAGGCTCCTTCTCGGGGTTGGGCTGGTCTTCCTCATGCGCAGGCATATGCCGCTGCACTTGAGCGTTCTGCGGCTGCAAATGTGGGGGGATTGGCGGCGCGCGATCCACGTACTGGTGGGTCTGCTGGTGTCGCTGGTGCTGCTGCACGAACGCCGCGGCGGGGCTCATTCCGCTGTTGTTTGACATCATCGAGTTGCCCGACGACGACCCGCCATTCATTGAACTGGGCGTAGGGGGCATGTCATAGTTGTAAGACATCATCTGCGGGTGCGGCGAGTGTGACATTTGCTGCGGCTGGTGAGGCGACACCTGCGAGCTGCCGTACATGCCTCCTCCAGACCGGTACGAGTTCATCGGCGCGGCGGAGCCATAGATCTGCCCGTTGTTCATGTTTCCACTGGGCGTTGAAGACCCCGTGGGGTACATGCCGCCGTTCAGGTTGGAGCTATACCCCGACGACGGACCCGCGTAACCCTGGCGGTAGTTATCCTGCTGCTGCGAAGGTCCCGACATGCCGTTGGACGACGCGTTCACCATGTTCGGCCGACGATCGTAGTCGTGCGAGTTATTGTTTTGCACTGATCCCGACGGGGGCAGCGAGTGGTCGTAGCCATTGCTCACGATATGCTGCTGCATCGGAGGCTTGCGGTAGTGCACCATCGTGGGGTCATAGCCGCCGCCGCTCATATCGCTCGTGTACATCATGCCGTTGCTGCCCATGCCTCCGCCCATCATGTTCATACTCGGGTGATGCTGGCCACCGGACTGCATGCTCCCTGCCGGCACCACTTGGCAGTTCGGAAGTCGCATCATCTGGGCACCTTGCTGCTGCGCGTGCATGGAGAACGCGGCCACCTCGTCACTCTTAACCATGCCGCCGTCGAAGCCAGGACCCTGCTGCATCATTTGGCCGGGCATGCCCATGACGCTCTTCGGCGTCATCTTGTTCTTGTCGGCCTGGCCACGACGCCCTTGCCTGCAACAATTATCATCACGTCAGCGTTACGTTAGTTCCTCCTCAAGGGGTGCATACAAACTTCAAGCAAGGAAACACACACGCAACGCACCCCTTGCGCACTCTGCAGAGCGACTTCCAGCGGATCTTGACAGCGTCTTCTGTGCGGCCCGGCAGCATGGCGGCGATGGCCGACCAGCGGTTGCCGAGTCTGGCCTGCGCATCGAGAATCATGCGGTCCTCCTCGGGCGAGTACTCTCCGCGGACGATGCTCGGGTCCAGGTGGTTGTACCAGCGCTCGCGGCACTGCTTGGACGTGCGGCCGGGGATGCGCGTGGCCACCTGGCCCCAGTTCTTGCGGCCCTCGGCCACCAGCTCCTTCAGCAGCTCGTCCTCGTCGGGCCGCCAGTGGCCCTTCACCAGGCCAGGGGCCAACACCTTTGTCCAACGCTGCAGACACTGCGTGTGGTTGCGGCCGGGCACCTCCTCGGCGATGGACTTCCAGTTGCGCTCGCCGTGGCGGCCCACGGCCTCGCGGAGCTTGTCGTCCTCCTCCTGCGTCCAGCGCTTGGGCACGGCCTTGTCCTTCGTCTTCATAATCTGCAGCAGCAGCAGCAGCAACAACAGCAACAACGTCACGCCCGTCAGCCCTCTACTCGTACCAACTAGCTACCTCCTCTGCCTCGGCCCACGTACGTCGTGCTGCTTCTGGCGGGGCACGCCCTTGATCTCTGTGAACACGCGCTTGCTGCCGCTCTGCGTGGTGGTGATGACCGCTGGCTTGGCCGGAGCCGGCTTGCTGGCGGCCACGCCGGCCGGTGGCGCTGCCGGCCCGTCGCCCTTGGGGGCGCCGCCGGCCTGGCCCTCGGTGAAGAGCAGCTTGCCGAAGTCCGAGATGGACGAGCGGCCCTCGGCCTCCATGGGGAAGGTCTCCACGAGCTCGCCCATGAGCTTGGAGATGGACTCGCGACTGACGCTGATGCTCATGGCCTTGGCCCGGGTGCGCGTCGGTCGGCCGGGGATTAGAAAATGCGAACAGCCAGCGCCCAGCCGACAGAGACCGGCAGGAGCTTGACTTGCTGCTCGCGCGCCGTCAAATGCTCGGGTAAGCCGCGGGGCACAATGCTGCAACAGGTGACGCGTGTGGCGGTCGCTCTTCCGCCGAAGGTGTTGGAGTGGCCCGGCCATGCATCGACACAATCCGGCTCTCTGCGCCAGATGTACCCCCGAGCGTACCCCCTCTGTACCCCTCAGCATACAAAACCCAAGAGCAAAAGCGAACGACAGCTGGATGGACGCCCCAGCGGATAAGCAACATCTTGCACTCCGTATGTGGTGCCACACTGCGAGGCTGAGGTGTTTTGAAAACACTGTTTTCACGCTCGAGCGGCTCGAGGCCATGAACATGTGATCAAAGCGTGTGTGTTTTACTGCACAAACGTTCCGCTGTACATGTACAAGTGCATTGGTCGTAACTCGATACTGGTACGAGCGTCACTACTGAAGTTTTTTAAATGTGCAGCAGATTAAAGCTTTACGCAAGACTCAATGAAAATACTACAGTATATCGAAACCTGTCATAGCATAACCTTGACACAAGATCGCCGCTTTTTTTTAGCTGAATACGTTTTTCCACTTTAAAAGGTAAAGAAACAACTTCAGTTTTCTAAAATGAAGAAACCATCCGGTACAGTACGGCACATCGGTACTTTTTCTCAATTAACCTTAAACCATACTTTCCCAACAAAATAAAAAACAGTGTACAAAAACACCGTTTGTAATTTTCTGGGGTATTACATTTATTTTTGTAGGTTATGCAAAAGCAACTATTTTTTTTAAGTGTGACTTATGTAGCGGTTATCTTGTTAATTCACAAACAGCGTCACTACCGGTACTGTTTGCGAGCGATTACGAGGTTGAGGTTTACTAACGCAACACAAACGAAAGTTATTTGAAAGGTTTAGTAGTTTGCATTATGCATCAAGGATTGTTCAGCGTTACAGCTTACTTAAAGTGTTTGGTTAAGGACGGCATCTTAAGTGCATTGTGAGAAGATCATTGACGGTGCAACGAAGCATCCGTGCTTAATGGCTTCTCAACTACTGCTCTCCCGCGTTGCAAAAGCGAAACATAGCAAATTACGCCGATGGGATCGATATATGGACGGTGAAGTAGGACGCGCAATGAGAGGAAAACGGAAGGAATTTACTTCAACTCACAGAATGTAAAATTCGTGTTTTCTACAGCGTCGCCATCCCAGGGAATACAGGTTGAATAAAACGGTTTCGATACCCCAACCCCACCCAACCGTACAAACGAGGTCGTATCCCGTGTTGATTGCCTGTTAGCATATCTGTTTCCGCGGTTCAACGTCCGGAGAATAGCTAGGCGCTAAGATGCACGAGCCACGTTCATACCTCAGAGCTAGTACACGGCCCAGCGCTAGAACTTAAGTCAAATGTTGGAGATAGCTTCAAACATCGGAGATAAAAATAATCGAACAATGACCAATCGAATTTCGGACATCAACTTTTCGAAAGTGAAAATCACCCGTAGAAATCAGTAAAAACCATTTTCGTCCGATTGAATTTGCAGGAGTTTCAATAGAAAAGAATATGCCAAAGTTTTGAGATAACACTCGTAAATCCGGTATTCTGGGGATCTGAACAAACAGAATATGGACTTCACACCTCGAGTTGTTAGCATTTTGGAGCGCTTAAATAGCTTAAAAGAGCACGAGAGACATCGCTTTAAATTTCAATTCGTTCAAAAAAATACGTGAAGAATACTCCCCTAGCCCTAAGTAACCCACACCACCAAGAGGTTACACTCCATTGTGAGGGTTACTCTGGCGCTGGCGATCTTTCGGCCTGTCATCCGGTGCCCCAAGAGGCGTCGGACCGTCGCCGTCTGCTTCATTCCCCGCTTCGTGCAGGACCGCGCAAGCCCCGCTCCTATCCACACACACACCACCATGTCCTCCGCGTACGGCTCCCGCGGCGGCGCCAAGGCCAAGGGCGCGGCCCAGAAGAACAAGAAGTTCGAGCTGACGGAGGAGCAGAAGCAGGAGATCCGCGAGGCCTTCGACCTGTTCGACACGGACGGCAGCGGCACCATCGACGCCAAGGAGCTCAAGGTGGCCATGCGCGCGCTGGGCTTCGAGCCCAAGAAGGAGGAGATCAAGAAGATGATCTCGGACATCGACAAGGACGGCAGCGGCACCATCGACTTCACCGAGTTCCTCGAGATGATGACGTCCAAGATGAGCGAGAAGGACTCGCGCGAGGAGATCCTCAAGGCCTTCCGCCTCTTCGACGACGACGAGACGGGCAAGATCTCGTTCCGCAACCTCAAGCGCGTGGCCAAGGAGCTGGGCGAGAACATGACGGACGAGGAGCTGCAGGAGATGATCGACGAGGCCGACCGCGACGGCGACGGCGAGATCAACGAGGACGAGTTCCTGCGCATCATGAAGAAGACCAGTCTCTATTAGGTGCTGTAGGCGGACTCGAACAAGCTGTAGACAAGAAGAACGCGTACGTGCCCGTTGCCCCCCAAACACTATCCATCACACATAGCAATACATCCCACATCTCTATCCAAAACAAAATGGTCGGTGAGCAGTCCTATGCATATGGGGGTGTATGTATCTATTCAGTGTCTGTAGCTCTACTTACTTACTCCTCGTCCGACGAGAAGTTGAAGTCGCCCACCTCGTCGGCGGCGTCCACCTCGGCCACCGACTTCTTGAACTCCTTGAGCGACATCTTCTTCACCTTGGCGACCGTCTCCTCGTCCACGGGCGTGCCCGACTTCTTGGCACGCTGCTTCTTGTTCCTCTTTTTGCTCTTCTTCTTCTTGTCGTCCTCGGCCTGCTCGGAGCTGCTCTCCTCCTTCTCCTTGGAGGCATCAGCTGAAGCGTCCAGCTTCTCCTGCAGGTCCGTCGCGTCCTTCTCGAACAGTTTCTTGACGGCGGCCTCACGCTCCGCGCGCAGGAAGTCGTCCAGCTGCGCCGTGTCCTTCGGGCACAGGTCCAGGCCGCTGCGCTTGGAGCGGATCCAGTCCGCGCGCTTCTTGATGCTGTCGCTCAGACCACGCACTTGGGCCTTCCACTTGGGGACGGCGCAAGCGTGCATGAACTTGTTGAGCGTGAGCTGCAGCGGCACCGCGAACTCCGGGAACGCCACATTGAACTTGTACACGTCGCACTCACGCTGCAGCAGCTCGAAGAGCCTCACGATCACCTGGTCGTGCACGCGCTTGGCGTCCAGCGCAGTCTTGGACAGCTTCACGCACAGCTCCAGGTCCACCTCCGTGGTGGAGTTGCTAGCACCCTTGGCTCCCTTCTTGCCGCTGCCCTTGTAGGACGAACGGAACGGCTCCAGCTGCAGAATCTCAAGCAGGGCCGGGCTCGTGGGGATGAAGGAGTTGGTGGCCAGCGCGAGCTGCTGGAGCAGCTTCACGCAGTGGAGACGCAGTGGCGCAAAGCGCAGCGTGCTCGATAGCCGCACCACGGCGAGCAGAAGCTGGCTCAGCGGGTACACGAGCGCGCGGAGCTGGTTCTCGGCCGGGTACGCGCACACCACGGCAGTCCACACGCGCAGCTGGTTGAAGAACTGCCAGTTGAGAGCAGCCTTGAACGAGTCCGGGCCCGGGGATGTGATAGTCTTGCGCACAGCAATTGCCAGCTCGCGGATGTAGACGAAGGCGTGCTGGTACGAGCTGCTGAGGTCGAGGCCAAAGAGCTCGACGACACAGTTGCCCATGAGCACGTGGTGGGGCAGCGTCACCTCGTTCGTGAACTTGGTGTTGCGCATGTACGTGACGTAGATGCCCTTGAGGCAGAGCTCCAGGAACGGGAAGGGCACAGCCAGAGCCATGTCGCGGATGCGAACGAAGGCCAGCATGCACACGTTGGCGTTCAGCGACTTGGCCCAGAGCTTCAGCAGCGCCTTGAGCATCCTCCGCGAGGTCTTGGGGCACGGCACCACGAACGGAATGTAGTGCACGAGCTCGCGCAGCACGAACGTCTGAATGTCCTGTCCGGTGGTCTGCTCCAGCAGGTAGCACGCGCAGCTGAAGAAGCGGCGGATCACCAGCGAGTACTTCTTCCACTTCTTGTCGTCGATCTTGAACTTGCCGTCGTCCTCCGAGGTCGACTCGAGCGCCACCAACGTGGTCAGCGTCGCGTGCGTCTTGCGGAACACGTTCACCATGAGGCGGTTGTACACGGCGCTGCTCTGCACGTCGTACGTGATTTCGCCCTCCTTGCTGGAGTCGGCGGCGTCGCTGGAGCGGCAGGCGTCGCTGAAGATCTTCATCAGACGACGCAGGCCCGAGACCGACTTGGTCTCAAAGCACTCCTTCTCGGCCTTCTGCAGGACGGCCATGGTCACGACGGTGCGTCCAGCTCCCTGCTGCTCCTCCTGCTCCTGCTCGGCGTCGTCGTTCTCCTCATCGTCCTCCTTCTCGTCGCCCTCAGCCACAGCCTCCTCGTCGGCATCGTCATTGCCGCCGAAGGGCGTGCCCGTCATGTAGCGCGGGTCGAGGGCGCTCTCGTCCTCCTCCTCGCTGCTGCTGCCGTCGTCCACGTCGTCGTCGTCCTTCTCCTGCTTGGACGCAGCCGACTTGGCCGTGCTCTGGGAGGTCTCGGCCTCGGCCTCGTCGTCGCTGGCGTCCTCCTCGTTGTCCGAGTCCAGGAAGTCGGCGTTCAGGAAGTCGTCCACATCCATCTCGTCCAGCATGTCGGGCTCGTCCTTCTTGCCGGCGCCGCCCTCGCCCGCGGCCACGCGCGGCTTCTTCTTGCTGGGCGCGTCGCTGTTGCGCTCGAAGCGGTTGCGCTTCTTGTCCTTCATGGCCTGGAACTTCTTCTTGGCATTGCGCTGCTTGATCTTCTGCGACAGCAGGCCCTTGGCCACGAACTTGGCCTTCTTCTTCTGCGCGCCCATTGCTGCTGCTTAGTAAGGTGCTGCTGCTGCTGCTGCTGCTACGGGAGGCGGCTGATCCTTGCGGCCGTAGGAAGCGCAACAAGCAAATGCGTCGACGTTGATGGTTGGCGCCGGGATTGGCTGGCTGCCGCTGCTGGCCGACGGTGACTGGTACGGGATGTGGTACAAGTGTGTGGACCACATGAAATGTGAAACTTGATACAGATAAACCTTGCATACCTGATACGACCGGTGGACGACAGTCGTATCATGTAAAGCAATAATATCAGGTATGTAAGTTGTGGGTAAGATTTTACCAGCTATAGCTGTCTCCGCAGTAGCAATAATTCTCACTGATATGTTGAGCTCAAGGCAGAGCGTTGTGGCTCAGAAACTGGGTGAAGCGGAGGCTAGTGCATAAGTATGAATAGCTTGAGCCTCGGGCCAATGCTTTTATTTTTATTTTTTGCGGTTACCGCCGATTGCACTCAGGGCGAGCTCTGCATCAACCCCGCTAACAGGGTCCACTAAGGTACCGGGCGGCTGCGGCTACCATCCCGTTTACCCATGAACTTTGACTCTCCAGCTACCTATTGCTATGTAAGTGGGTCTCGGGTCAGTTATCTTCATATGCGACGACGCGAGCACGAACTACATGAAGGAGCTGGACATAGTGATCGACTTCCTGATTCGCTCCCAAGGCGATGGACGTCGTGTCGGCCAGGGCAAGCAGTCCGGACGGGACGCCAGTCAAGCGCCACAACAGCGCGGCCAGCCGCCGAACAGTAACAGCAACAACAAGCAGGCCGGCCCATCACGTGGATACGTCGACCTCAGCACCGACGGACGAAGTTGGCGCTGTACTCGGAGTCGACCTGAAGACTGACATCAAGCCTCCCGATCGGAACGGAAACAAGCACCTATTGACCATCGTTGATTATGGCTCGAGTTTCAACAGGGTGTATTTGCTGCAAATGAAGGACGAAGCGGCGAAGCGAATCTTGGAATTCCTGCCCGAGCTCGAGCGCCAGTACAACGTGGCCGTGAAGGTAATCCGGTTGGACGGCGGGGGTGAGTTCCTAGGCCGCGAGTTCGAGGCCTACCGCAAGCGCCACGGCATCCAGCATCAGTCGTCGCTGCCCGACAACTCTGCCTCAAATGGCAAGGCAGAGCGTACGCATCGTTCACTGATGAATTCGCGCCGCGCGATGTTGTGGGCGTCAGGTCTTCCCGAGCGGTACTGGGCCGACTCCGTCAAATACGCGTCCTACATCCGCAACCGGCTACCAACGCGAGCGAACGCAGACATTAAGTCTCCGCTGGAGGTGCTCACCGGCAAAGTCCCCAGCGTGGGGCATATGCTGAGGTTTGGTTCCACCTGCACCACGCACATCGCTCACAAGATGGCTGCATCCGTGAAGCGCCGGGCCGAGAAAGCTGTTATCATCCGTGTCCACGAGGGCCAGAAGGGCTACCGGTTGTTCTTGCCCCGGACGAAGAAGATCGTGACGAGTGCGGACGTGCAGAACGTTGACAAGCTGGATATTCATGATAAGGAGACACAGGACGCGTTGAACGAACTGCATGGTGAGAACGAGCTGTCGCCCGCCCGGTTCGACCCCGTACAACACGCGTCGGATGCAGGGCAGGTGCGCGGTCAAGCTGGCAGCGAAGGACACGAGCAACAGCAGGAAGCGTTAGCCGGCAAACGGCGCGTCAGCGTGTGCCGGACCAAGAAGCGCACTCGACTGGTCAGAGCCCACCAACTCGTTCTTGCTCTGCCGAGTAGCCAGGAAGCGTGAGCGCACGCGATACGCCTCGTTAGGCGGAGCGAACACCCGGGACAATTGCTGTTTCAGCTGGTCCCACATCGGGAAGGTGGTCTCGACCGACGTCCCGGACGTTAGTGCCCACTCTCTCGCTCGCCCACCGAGCTTCGAGATTGCTAGTGCCACGCGCTGCGACTCCGTCCGGAGTAGAGCTGAGCTCATTGCCATCTCAACTTCACGGGTCCAAAGCATCAAGCTTTCACCCTCCTTGCCTTCGCAGGTCTTCACGCTCAACATGAGCGGCTTGGGTCTTGTTCCCGCGTCGGATGACGAAGCGGGCGCTTGGGGCGCCGCGGCCGTTGCCATCCTCTGCTGGAGGGGCCCTAGCAGAGCATTCTCGTAGCTTGAAAACGCCTCGAGTCGCGCATTCACCGCGTCGGGGCCTTGCTGCGCGAGTTGCGTCACGCCCTCCGGGCCCAGCAAGGACATAAGCTTTTTAAGCGCATCCTGCTGGTTCGAGGGCAAGTGAGCGAACTGCTCCATTCTCCACAGAGGGTCAGTCTATACAGACTCAGGTGTCGGATTGACTACGAGTGCTACCAAGTGCAGCGGGGCTACCGTAGTTTTAGTGTCAGAGCAAGACGTAACAGACTCACAGAGTCTCAGCTTAAGATAGCCCGTTCTAATACCAGAACGTACGAGTCCGTACACCTTACGGACTCCAAGAGTCAACCCTTAACTCTTAGCTGTGTGAATCTCAAACTGAATGTAGTTCCCTTTATTGCGGCAAAGCCGCCTATGGTGTAAATGTATCCGGTTCACTATCTAGCATAGTGAACCCTAGTCATATGCATAATCAGTGGCTCTGAAGCCATGTACTGATTATCCTACTGATTTAGGTTAGACAGTTTGTACCCACTTCGTAACCCATCGGGTAACTCTCGTGTAACCCTGTTACAGAGCAGATGGGATTCCAGTGTCCACCTCGCATGGCCAACTTCTTGCTAGATCTGGGGACCGACAAGCAGCATGCCTACGTTAGCGAAGAGCACACTACGTCAAGTGTTCCCTTCGAGTCAGCGGAATTTGCAGATCGCTTCGCGCAGTCGGAGATTTTCCAGGAGACGCTGAGCTACATGAGGGTCCGATCCAACTCGACTCCCGAGGTCTTTGACCCTCTTCAAGACCCCATCAATCCTTTCTTGAAGACCTCGCGGTGGTCTTGCAGCGTCAAGTACAACTCCGTTTGCGAGGTAAAGCATTTATGTTCGGTCGAGCTTTCATGGTGATCGTCATGGGATTGCTCTACGGTTCCGTGTTCTGGCATATGAACGACTCGAATAGCCAGCTCATCCTCGGGCTGCTCTTCTCGTGTACCATGTTTCTCTCCATGGACCAAGCCGCACAGCTACCAACCTTGATGGGGGCTCCAAGTGTGTTTTACAAGCAACGGCGGGCTAACTTTTTCCGATCGATCGCATACGTTATGGCATCATCGCTGACGCAGATCCCGTTCGCCGTACTGGAGACGCTGCTCTTTGGGTCAAGCGTTTACTGGATGGGCGGCTACGTCGCACTGGTCGACCGCTTCATTAACTTTCTGGTTACGCTCTTCCTGTGTCAAATGTGGTTCACAGCCTATTTCTTCTTCCTCTCAGCCGCTGCTCCGAGCATCACGATTGCTCAGCCCGTGGTGATGGTTTCCATTCTGTTTTTCGTGATGTTTGGTGGGTTTTGCTGCGAGACAGATATCCCCAACTATTTTATCTGGTTCTACTGGCTGGACCCGACTCGCATGGAGCATTCGATCACTCAGCGTGAACCAGTATCTCGCGCCCAAGTTCGACGTCTGCGTCTACGGCGGCATCAATTACTGCACTCGCTTCGGGGCGACATTTGATAAATATAGTCTCAAGCTTTCCGGTCTTCCGACGGGCGAATTCTGGGTTTTCCTGGGGTGGATTTACTTCGCAGCGGGATACATCGTTCTCGTTTTCCTCGCGTATCTGATTCTCGAGTACAAGCGCTATGAAAGCCCGGAGAACACAACAGCAGTGGTGAGCGACCTTGAAACTCAAACAAAAGCAATCACCGCCGAGAGAGAAAGTGGAGTTATATCTGACGAAGCTGGAATCACAATTACCAGTTCGAAAGCGAAAGCTCCGCCCGTCACGCTGGCGTTTCATGAGCTTTGGTACTCCGTGCCAATGCCCGGCGGGAAGAAAGGGGAAGACATCGACCTACTCCAAGGGGTGTCTGGATATGCCAAACCAGGAACCATGACGGCTCTCATGGGATCGTCCGGTGCAGGCAAGACGACGTTGATGGACGTTATCGCTGGTAGGAAGACCGGAGGCAAAATTCGGGGCAAGATCGTGCTCAACGGGTATCCTGCGAACGATCTCGCCATTCGTCGATGCACGGGGTATTGCGAGCAAATGGACATCCACTCGGAATCGGCAACGATTCGGGAGGCTCTCGTGTTCTCAGCCATGTTGCGTCAGAACGCGAGCATTCCGTTGAAGGAAAAAATGGAGTCGGTGGACGAGTGTATCAATTTGCTGGAGCTGGGGCCCATCGCTGACAAGATCATCCGCGGGTCATCCACGGAGCAAATGAAGCGTCTTACTATCGGCGTGGAACTCGTTGCGCAGCCTAGTATCATCTTCATGGACGAACCCACCAGTGGTCTGGACGCACGTTCGGCCAAGCTCATCATGAATGGTGTGCGCAAGATCGCCAACTCTGGAAGAACCATTGTGTGTACCATTCACCAGCCCAGTTCTGAAGTGTTTAGCTTCTTCGACTCGCTTCTGCTGCTTCGCCGAGGAGGTCGCATGGTATTCTTTGGGGAACTCGGTAAGGAATCCAGCAACCTCATCAACTACTTCGAGGCAGCTCCGGGTGTGAAGCCGATCGAGCCTGGATACAACCCGGCGACGTGGATGTTGGAGTGCATTGGGGCTGGTGTTGGCGGTGGGTCTGGCAACGGCATGGATTTTGCCGAGTATTTCTCAACTAGTGATCTCAAGACGCTGATGGACAAGGATCTGGATAAAGATGGCGTCCTTCGTCCGTCTTCGGATCTACCCGAGCTGAAATTCGGCAAGCAGTTTGCTTCTACCCCCATGATGCAGTTCGACATGCTGTGTCGCCGATTCTTCCACATGTACTGGCGAACGCCGACGTACAACCTGACGCGCCTGATGATCAGCGTCATGTTGGGGGCCATTCTCGGCTTCATCTACCAAGCAACTGACTACGCCTGAGTGAGCACGGGATCAGCACGACATTTGGTGCAAGGGAGTGCTGTCTGAAGAACCACCGTGGGCACGTAGTTGCTGTCGCGGAGCGTCAAGGCAAGATGCGGGTGGGTAATTTACCCGGTTCGGGTACCCGATTGCTAGCTCTGTTAGGAACGCCCCACCTACTGTCGGTACCATCACGCTCAAGCAGTACGTGGAGAATGGCTTCTACATGAAGCACGGTGAGATCCCGAGGAACGTCCTCATCCTGTGCAGCCTTCCGCCTGCTCGCGCTACTCTCGCTGCGGACGAGGGTGTACAAATATACAGATTCTTAGGACAAAATATACAGACTTGGGGGCATTCCATATCAGATGGGGCTGCGTCATACATATCATGTAGAATGGGTACATAACATACGAGCGGGGTATCGATATACAAGCTGACCGGCGTACTTTGGCATGGTTGAACAAATAAATCTTGCCAATATCTAAACATACTTGTGCTGTATTTTTGGGGAATCCCTTTGAAACCAACGACTATACGTAGCTCCCCACACAAGTGAAGTCACAAGCACAAACAACAAACTTCCAGCAATGGAGCCATGGCGGCGGCTTTCAGTCCACGCCTCCGAAGACAGCTTTAAGGCCTATCGAGACGATGATATTTGCTGCTCGGCGGTGACACTTAAGCGCGACTTTCACGTATGCAACGTATGCGGGGGTATGCATATGGGGTATGCATGCAATGACTGAGAGACGCCTTACGTGTACAAGCAAGACCTGCAGCGACATAGGGGTTTGTGCTCTTGTGTGGAAAGTGTTTACCTATACGGCTAGCGATATCTGGACGATATGGGTGAATGAGCATGGGCACATGCGTGGTGTGGTTCCATGCAGTACCATCCACCCTGCACGCGTGACGATGATGATGAAGCAATTTCTTGCAGAACAAGATGAGATGGGTATTCCACCACGGCTCATGCTGGTCAATTTGAAAAAGTAATCCCAGATCCCAGTGGCTAGTCGTGGTTGGCCAAGCCTGAAGCAGGTGCAAAACGCGTTGAAGCGCCTTCGGAGAGACCAAGGGACGAAGAACTCTCGCAAAGCTGTTCAAGATCTCGTTCGTATTCGCTGTTACCGCCCGGACCTAAACGCAGGCACGGCCTTTTTGTTTGGCGCGAGCTTAGACAGCGAAGGGTATGCATACGTTGGGTTGGGGTCGGATGAAGATCCTTTCATTATTGGCATAACATCATTAGCGATGATTGATGGCTGTCTGCGGTTTGTAAATTTCGGGTCGAATTGCCAGTTTCACGCAGACGCCACTTTCAAGTTAAGTGACATAGGGTACCCAGTGGTGACGTGTGGATTTACGGACAAGGCCAGAGCCTATCAAGTGGGGGCCTTCTTCGTTGTCAGTCGGCGAACAGCGCACGAATACACCGAGTGTTTCCGCAGCTTCGTGGAGCTTATACCTGAAGTGCGTGGGGTCTTCGTCCAAGTGGACACAGCCATGGGTGACGCGGAAGACGCCCAATACATCACAGTAGAGTCTGTTTCGGCGTTCACGGATACTAAAAAGCTCATGTGCTTCTTCCATGTGTTGTACAATGTGCGGAAGCGAATCCAGCATCTACCGATCAAAACAAGAAGGATGGTGATGTCATCTATCGTTGACATGCACTATGCCACCGGTTTGCTGGACTTTGAGCTGTGCCGAGATCGTGAGCTGCCGAAATGGAAGGGGGCCACGCATCTGAAAGAATTCGCGACTTATTTCGACTCGCAATGGCTCAAGGGTCGGTACTGGAGGTGGCAGGCATATCACACCCCCGCTGGATATGCGTCCACCAACAATCCATGTGAGAATCTGATCGGCGCCATAAAGCTTTTCTTACAGCGGCGTCGACATCACATGCGACAGCTTCTTCTCAAACTTTGTGATTTCACGTGTGACCGCCGTCAAATTTACTGTCACCTTCTTAGCTCGCGACTTCGTTGCCTTTTTCGAGGTGGAGGCGGAACCCTTGCGCTTGAACGTCGGCGAGCGGATGTTCGCCTTGGTAGATCGAGGCTTGGCTGGCCTTTGAATAGGAGGCAACACTGCTCTGGGGGGGTTGCGCTCGTCGCAAACTCCATCCGTGTCCACAGCAAAAGAACTGTCGGGTGTCTGCTCCATCAGCAACTGCCGTTGGTCAACAGTGGGAGCAAACCAGAGATCCCGGAGTCGCTTGCCACCGTGCCCAACAAGCCACTTTGTGTCTTTCTTCTGGCGATCTGTTCGGACTTAGTTTTCCGTTCACGTGCATAATGCCGAGCCCAACCGTTACCAGAGCTTTCAGCAAAAACCCACACAGCGTTGTGCACACGCATCTGCGCCAGAACATCGTGTCGTGTAGCCGGAGTAGAGAGAAATGTGGCGTGGTAGCAGTACGGTGAAGAGCAAATGCAACATGAGGACGAAAATACTAAGAGCTGAGGCCTTTCTCAGCACCGAAGAAATCGGCCAGCATCGTATTTGTGGCGCACACTAAACGAGTGTATCGAATTCGTCCGTTCTGATGAATTGTCCAGTAAAAAAGGTGCCTCACCATCAGAGATGCCGTTAACCAATAACCCGAATGAAGTTCAAGCAAAAAGAACGACTGCGTTAAGAATTTAAGAGAAACTCGACAGAACTCGTGCAGTAAATCAGCGTACGTATGTAATGGGCCTACTTTGGCCCACTACTTTAGCTTACACGTGTGCGCGTGTATGTGAGGAAGCGTAGCCTAGTTTAAATTAGAGTTAATTATACTCGGGCCTCCGAGTATAGATTAATCTAAATAAACGATCCAAATAATGTTTTTGGGTTAAAAATGAGAACTGCTATTTTTGTTTTATGTTTTTGACTTCCTCTAAATGTAATATTCTAAGATAGGAATCTGCCAACGGCTGGTTGGCAGAATTTCAATGCTATGCATGTCGCTCATTGGCTAAGAGATGCTGCTCTCAGCCAATAGGAATCCTAAGTCTCTATGGACCACCCGTCGTGGTGGTCGTAAATGTATGTAGCCTTTGGTGTGTCTACACCAAGGTCGAGAAAGTCTTTCGAACCTCTAACAGACGTCGTGTCTGTTAGAGTTACAAGTGACTGTAGCCACTTGTGCGTGTAACCCTGTTACACCATCCCCCCTCAAGGTTAGACGCACCGAGTCACGGCACGTCAATCAGGAAATTGACCATTCGTCAATTCTTCACGTTGGGAGAAAGAAAACTCGAGCTCATTCCGCAATGAGCTCGCCTCAGAAGTAGACCGACGCTGCAGCAGGGGGGATCCTCCGCCGAGATAGAAACTCTCTCTATCCCCGAGTACCGCGAGCGTCTCAAAGCAAAGCGTGACGCTCTTGCTACCAAGGCTGCGGCGGGGACAACTCAACCAGAGATTGTCCTCGAAAGTTCTTCTGTAGTCAACGACGCCGTTGACTTCGAGAACGACGACGTGGAGATGGAAGAGGGTGAGGCCTCTTCTAGCAAGCGCAAGGAGTCTATCGACAGCGATAGTCTCGACCTGCATGCCGGGTCGAGACGCCCTCGTGAAGGAGACGACTCGGACGCTTCGAGCTCGAAGCATTCGCGCGGCGAGAGCGACACTCCGCTCTTTGCTGCTGGGGCTTTAAGCTCCCCGCGTGAGGTGGCGCCTTCAAGCTCTCCGCGCGCTGCCTGAGCAGCGCGCGATCCGTGGATGCCGTCTGCGTCAGAGATCGCAGACCGTGTGGCCAACACTGTGCCTCCAAACGAAATCCCGCTGTACGGATGCAGCGGTATCCACGACGATGCTGTTGCGGAGGAGCAGCACTTTGATCCTTTAACGAATCAAAGGCGCGATTATTACATCGGGCTCTTCCACGATCTCCGATACTTCTCCAGCAAGAAGACCTCTTCTCGCAGCAAAGTGCCTGAGTGGCAGGCACTTTGTCAAAGTTGGAATGCTTTTGTTGAGAACTTCAACAAGAAGCCGGCTGCTTACCGTGAGCGGGTTAAGAATGCCCGTGAGCGCTTCGAGACATTCTCGACGCGCGGACGGCTGGAGCAGCTCCACAGATCCTCTGTGGACGCTGGTATTCCATGCGCTGTGCCCGAAGGCCAACAGTGCACGTTGTGTCTTCCGGGTGCGGCGCGCTTGAGCGACCGCGACCTAAACGGGTACACGACGATTCATGTACCTGCGAGTCTCAAGGATCTCCGTGCCAAGTTCTTGGCACCTGAGGAACGCGACGATCGTGGGACCTCGGGCGCTGTAGGTGACCATAGCGCTCGCACTACCTTCGCGTCGGCAGTGCGTGGTGAGCTTCGTACGCCCCCACCATTTCCGAAACGTCCTGCAGCAGGACGTCCCGTGGCTCCCATGTATCTTGGTGGGGCGGAAACCCTCTCCAACGAATACGATAACGAACCGGCTGCCGGTTCGTTTTCGGGATACTATGGTTCACAATACGCTCAACAATCCAGCGTGTTGAGCCGCGGGCGTCGCGGATCGGAGGCGGCGGTGGTGGGAACACGCCCCGGGTATGGTCAACCTGGGGTTGACCATGGCCCGACGCTCGAGGAGCGGGTCGCTGCTGTGGAGCAGCATCAGAGCCAGGAGTTCGCCGCTCTGAAGCAGGAGGTGGCGATCCTGAGGGCTCAAGTCGCTCAGGCCTCGCAGACCGCGTAGGACATCTCTGTCGACGTGGGAGGTCGCGTCGCACGCTTGGCCCAACGCGTTCACGCGCTGGAGCAGAGGTTCGCTCCCGCTGGGGCTTCCGCTTCGGGCCAGCTGAGCTAGGTGGCTCGTGCTGCCGGTATGGCTTCAGCCGCCCGACGTAAAAGGTCGGATGGAGGCGCATGCTAGATGGAATATCTAGCGTGTAGGCGTTGCCATGCCGTGCCAACACCGTGAACGGCCCGATGAAGCGCGGAGCGAGCTTGCTCGCCCCGAAGTCGGAAACGGCATGTTTAGGCAGGTTTTGAGTTGCTAACCAAACCAATGAACCATTTTTGAATTCATTTGTGTTGCCCCTGCCAACATTGTCTGCGTTCAGCTTCTGTCGGTCGACAGAAGCTGCGATAGCGTCTTGGACAAACCGAATGACGGCTTGACTGCGCTGCACGAAGTTGATTGCGTCCGAGCTGAACTCGTTCAGCTCGTTTCTAGCAGTAGGCCCGGCCTCTGCGTTCGTCTTGTCGGCGTCTGTGCCCTGCACAGACGCGTGCTTCTTCTTCTTCTCGCGCGTAGTCGCGGCTGACACTGTGCAAGTGTCAGCGGCATTCTGCGGCTGCTGTGTTGCCGTCGTAGATCCTCCCCCACTTAAGGAAGGAGCCAACATCCCGAATAGACTCGGGAGGCGTGGGTGCCTGATGGCATTCACGTAGAATGGTGTATGCCCGGTCGAGGCATGCACCGAGTTGTTGATGGCGAACTCTGCCATCGGCAGGCACTCGCTCCAGTGTTGGAACGAGTGAGCGTAGCTCTTAAGCACGTCTACGAGTACGCGGTTCACGCGCTCGGTCTGCCCGTCCGTCTGCGGATGGTCCGCAGTCGATATCGAAAGTTGACTCCCAAGAAGCGTAAACACTTCTTGCCAAAGGTGTGCAGTGAAGCGCGGGTCTCGATCCGACACAATGTCGATCGGCATGCCATGGTGTTTGAACACCATGTCAACGAACAGACGCGCCGTCTGTTTCGCAGTCACTTCAGCGGGTACCGCAGCAAGATGTACCATCGTGCTGAAGCGGTCAACAAAGACCACAACGCCCGTGTTCCCCTGGCTGTTCGGAGGAAGACCGAACACGAAGTCCAAAGACATGGACTGCCAACACTCCCGTGGAGTTGGTAATGACTGCAAGGGAGCTTGCGCAAAAGGCGCAGGCTTCACACGTTGACAAACCTCGCAAGCACGGACGTACTTGCGCACCCATTTATACTGGTGGGCCCAGTAGAAGTCTCGCGTGAGAAGAAGGTATGTCTTCTCACGGCCCGGATGCCCCGCAGTCGGTGCATCGTGATACTCATACATGATCCTGAGTCGCAGGTCATGGTCATTGGGCACATCAACGCGGTCCGCGTTGTCGTCGACTGCACTGTAGAGTACTAACCCGCCGTGCACCCGGTAACGGTGTGCACGAGCACGAAGATGCTTCGGCAGCTTCTGACGAGCTTTGTCAAAAGGCGCTGAGCCGTAGGCCAGCAAGAGCTTCGCGTCCGCGTCGTGCGCGTACGCGACCTTCACGTCGTCCAACAGTGACGACGTCGGGGTGCTCGATCGCATTGTGTCAATGGCATTGACGTCGGCATCAGTCGTGGCGTAGTCAGGTCGACGCGAGAGCGCGTCGGCCACCACATTAAGTCTTCCGGGTTTGTACTCAACCCGGAAGTTATACTCTGCGAAGAATGAGAGCCATCTCGCCATCCGTTGCGAGATGTGCGGCGACTTCACAGCCGTCCGCCACGACGCGTGGTCCGTATAGACCACGAACGGTTTGCTTCCGAGTAGATACACTCGGAACTTCGCGAGTGCGTACTTCATGGCAAGGAGCTCCTTGTCATGTACCGGGTAGTTGCGCTCTGCTGGCTTCAGCTGACGCGATTGATAGTAGACGACACGATCACGACCTTCGTGATCGTGCTGCATCAACGCACATCCGATTGCGAAGTCGGATGCGTCACACACACCGTGGAATGGGCGATCTTGGTCGGCCACCGCCAAGATCGGCGCCTCAGTCAAGCCCCGCTTGACTGCATCGAAGGCCTGCTGACACTCAGCAGTCCAAACCCACTCGGCGTCCTTCTTCAGGAACTGTGACAGCGGGCGTATCATGCCCGCGTTGTCCTTCACGTACTTGCACAAGTACGTGGCCAAGCCAAGGAACTGCCGCAGTTCCTTGACGTTCGACGGCGTCGGCCACTCATTGATCACTCTGACCTTCTCAGGGTCAGGGCGGACACCGTTCTCCCCAACGAGACACCCGAGCACGGGTATCTCGCTCGCTCCGAAGATACACTTCTTCAGGTTCGCATAGAGCTTGTGCTTGCGCATAAGCGCAAGCAGCTTCCCGAGATGCAGGTTGTGCATCTCAACATCGCTCATCCTGTCCGCAGCCCGGCTGTGGACGAACACATCGTCAAAGTAGCTCGGTGCGAAGTCGCGCACCGAGCGCAACAAGTGCGTCACGCACCTGTTGAAGGTCGCAGGGGCGTTCTGCAGACACTGCGGTATCACTAGCCACTCCCAGAGCATGCCGCTCGGCGTGCTCACAGCCGTGAGAGGGATAACGCTCTCACGCATGAGGATATGATAGAATCCATCGCGCAGATCAAGAGCACTGTAGATAGTGCTCCTGGCCATCGAATCGATGATTGCATCTTTTCGTGGTATCGGTGTCTGCGCCGGTATCGTCGCATCGTTCAGCTTGTTGTACGCATGAACGATGCGACAGCCGCCTTGTGGCTTCTTGACACAGAACGTCGGAGCACTGTGCGGGGACTTCGATTCCCGCACTCGTCCGGCTTTGCGACGACTCTCAAAGAAGTCGTCGATCGCCTTGACCTGCTCTCGCGGCAGTGGCCACTGCCGCGTGACACAGTACTTCGTTCCCGGCACGAGATCGGTCTGGTGCTGGATGCCCTTGTCCTGCGGAAGCTCCGCAGGGATCTCTTCCGGAAGCACGTCCGCGTACTCCCGTAAGATCTCGTAGTAGGGACTCGTCTTCAACGAGTCCCAGCTCTGCTCTTCAAAGCGCTCGTTCTTCGTCTTGGCACTGAGAGTGTCCTCGCTCTCAGTGGTGCTCTCCATGAAGAACTGCCTCAGTTCTTCATTCTAGCTCTTCGTTCTCTCGGCGTCCGAGAGAATGCATATCTGCTCGATACGTCCATCGTGCAAGTCACGCGCGAAGCGCTCCCAGCTCATGACTGGAAGCGAAGTCAACTCCGACGCTTGCGTCGGAGGGTTAGCGAGAGTCATCTCCCTGTACCGGAACCCGGCACAGGTACGCGTCAAGACGTTCAACGTCTCGACGTCCGGCTTCTCAGCCTCCGTCTGCCCGGCAGACTTTTCTTGTAGCGCCTCGGCCCCGGGCCGAGACTTGCGCTGCGACCTTCGCATGCGCCGTCTTCTTGTCCTGCGGAGCCTGGCTCCGCATGACTCTTGACCTCGTCCAGGCCCAGCCGTGGACGGGTGTTCTTCTTCAGTACCGCCGGCGGGTTCATCCCGCAAGCGAGCGACTTCAAGCCCGGCTTGGTCGCCCGGCGCTTCGTCGTGCAGCCCGGCTGCACGACAGCATGCAAGTTTTTCCGGTGCGGGACGTTTGCAACCGTCCGCACCGCCTGCAGTGTCGGCTCCCGGAGCCGACACGCCATCTTCACCTCGACGCCTGTTATTGGCGGAGCCCTCCATTACGGAGGGTGCGTCGGCTCCCCGAGCCGACGAATCCAATTCACCCAAGCCATCGACTCCCGGAGTCGACGGCGTTACGTCACCTTGGCTCTTATTATTGGCCAGACTTGATCCAATCACATTCGCGTCAGCCTCCACGGCTGAGGCGTGTGACTCGCCTGCGTCATCCGTGCCCCTTGCGGCCGGAGACTCTTCCTGATTCGCTGAAAAGCGGGTGTCGACCTCTGAGGTCAACACATTTCCTTCATTAGCTGTCGGCGGCGACGCCGGCGCTTGTTGCTCTTGCACGTGTGCTCGCGCGCGCCCAGGGCGCTCCGGGACAGCGGCATTAGGCGTTGTCTCGAGTGGGGAGTCGCGTGGCACCTGTCGGTGCGTGCGTAGCGGCAACAGGGCCATCGCTCACTGTTCCGCTGTCACGACCGAAGCGCACGAGAGTGCGCTTCTCCCAATCGATGACCGGATCATTCCGTGCAAGCCACGGCATGCCCAATACAACGTCAAACCTATCGTCCAGATCCAGGACAATAAAGGTCTCGACAAACTCTTGATCTTGATACGTGAAGCGCACGCGTTCCATGCGCTTCTCGGTCTTCACGACGGCATCCGTTGCCAGTCGTACTTCCAACATACTTCGAGGTATCTTTCAATTCTCGAAGTCAAGCCTTGATAGACTTCGCAGTCGAACAAAGTTCTTCGACGCGCCAGAATCTACTAAAGCACGAAGAGAGTCGCTTGCTCTCATCGAGTTCACATTCAGAATGACAAGGTCAGGCTTGTCATCTTGGTTCTTGCAGTGAGAATGAACCTCACTGGGGGCTGCAGTCCTCAGTGTTGCGTGTCCAAGGTCGACACGCGGAACTGCATTACCAGTAGGGCGCCCCGCGCCTACTGGCGTCCAGCGTTTTTTGTTTGGTTGCGGCGGTGCCCGGCACCGCCGCGATAGCCACCCTGCTGGTGCACGGGGGCCGTGCACTCCCGAGCAAAGTGACCAACGCTACCACAACGGTAGCATCGCACATTGTTTCCCTGCGACTGTTGGGGTCCAGCAGTTGCAGCACTCGAGAGGTCCATGGGTTCTGGGCCTTCCGTCCTCACTACCGGGCGTGGCTGTGGCCTCGGCACATGTGCATGCAGCTTAGCCTGCCGCAGGCTAAACTCCTCCTGCATTGCAAGAGTAATTGCAGCTTCGAGAGTACTCGGGTACTCACGGAAGAGATAGGTCTTCACAGGCCCATCTCTCAGCCCCTTCATGAACGTGACAACCTTGGTCGCCTCGTCGATCGGATTGGTCACGATGTTCGAGACCAAGTACCGTGCTCTCTGAGCGTAAGCATGGACATCATGCTTGCCCTGCTGAAGGTCGAGGAACTCCGCCCTCGGCCGGAACTCGTTTTGCGGTGGCTCAAATGCTTGTCTGAACTCTTCCTTGAAACCCTCGTACGTGTTAAAGCACGTAGGATCCGAGAGTCGGCGTCCATACGCCCAACTTCTTGCACGTCCGCCAAGACATGACATGGCGAACGCAACCTTCGACAACGGGTCGACGATACGTCGAGCCGCAATGGCAGTGTCGAGTTCGACAAACCAACGGAGGAGAGGTTCACCCTCTCTTCCGACATAGTTGCTCACATTGAGCATCAGCGATTGCGCGCGTGGTGTCGTCCCGGACGGCACCGCGGTAGTAGCAGCAACATCGCGTTGCTCCTTCAGGATGAACCCCAGAGCAACACCGTGTTGCTCTGTCGGCGTTAGCGTACGCAGCATCGTAGCTACAGCCGCCTCACCAATGACTGTTGACAGTCGTTGGAGGGCCTCCCACTCTGGATCCGACAGATGGGGACAGTCAGCGCGTGCAACGTGAGTTGCAGGCGTAGTGGAGCTTTCCATGGGCACCTCTGTATCCATGGGAAGGTTCTCAGCTCCGCGTTCGTGCGGTGACGTACGAACTCAGGTAGTCGGTCGTTGGACGGACTACAAAGTGCTACCAGGTGTAATGGGCCTACTTTGGCCCACTACTTTAGCTTACACGTGTGCGCGTGTATGTGAGGAAGCGTAGCCTAGTTTAAATTAGAGTTAATTATACTCGGGCCTCCGAGTATAGATTAATCTAAATAAACGATCCAAATAATGTTTTTGGGTTAAAAATGAGAACTGCTATTTTTGTTTTATGTTTCTGACTTCCTCTAAATGTAATATTCTAAGATAGGAATCTGCCAACGGCTGGTTGGCAGAATTTCAATGCTATGCATGTCGCTCATTGGCTAAGAGATGCTGCTCTCAGCCAATAGGAATCCTAAGTCTCTATGGACCACCCGTCGTGGTGGTCGTAAATGTATGTAGCCTTTGGTGTGTCTACACCAAGGTCGAGAAAGTCTTTCGAACCTCTAACAGACGTCGTGTCTGTTAGAGTTACAAGTGACTGTAGCCACTTGTGCGTGTAACCCTGTTACAACGTAGACGTCCACACGGCGCACAAACGACACACCAGAAATCCAGCTTAAATCGCACTGTCCGATACCAACACCAGTGATCTCGTCGTCGTAGATGAATTTCTTCCCATCCACAACAGCAATAATAAAAGGGTGCGTCACTCGCAGTGAACTAAAAGCAGCACAGATATAGACACCTTCTTCGAGCACAACTGCGCACAATTTACTAGTCGATTGGTGGCTGGTCACACCCCCGAACACGTTTTTATCCAAAAGCGTCGTGCTCACCTGCTTCAGATTCCTCCAATTCGCAAACTTCACGTAGCAGCGCAATTCACCATACGTCACCCCCTCGGCCGAAATCGGTTTACCCCTTCCTGCACATTCCCTCATAAATTGACTAGCTTGAGCCATGGAGTACCAACCGGCGTTACCCACCAGCTCAGTCGCAATACCTAGCGCGTAAAACGCACATAAGCCTTCGGGCGATGCTCCAATGTGGTGACAATGTCCATTTAGCTTGCAAAATTGGTAGTATGTAGACACTTTGGACACTTTCCACTCGTCCACCACATTGCACGTACGATCGAAGCCGTCCTCACGAAGTCCTACACCATACTTCCATGTGTCATCCCACCGAAACCCATCAGCTTCGTCACACCACTTAACCAGGTACTTAATTCCGAATTGTGTTTCTTCTCGATCCACAATAGCAAACACTACGCCACGCTCTTGGTTACGCGCGGGCGTATTGGCGGCAGACTTGGGGTCAGGGGCAGGAGAAAAAGCGCGAACCAGCGATGCCGTACCCGTGCCTGACGCCGCCACATTGATAGGTCTACAGCTCTTCGCTCGTATCGTACCCTTCTGGGCATGTGCGATGGCCATCATTGACTTTCCCACACGCACACATAGTTTAGTCCACTCAGCAGGGGTTTGCTTGTACCCATGGTTCCGTAACCCCCGCGATGATGCCGTGGTCCCTCTGCAACACGCATCGGTCGAGCCACGGACACCACCACGAAGAGTGTAAAGCATGGTCGCTTGGCTGTTCAGCGGCTGGGCGTGGATGTGCACGAGGACGCAAAGGAAGCCGAAGTTTTCGGCAATGCTTCTTCAGTGGTCTTGAGGGCGGCAGATTTATCGTTGTGAAGAAAGAAAAGCACGCGCGAGAAGGCCGTAAATTGATTGAGAGATGTAGATCACTTTTGCTTTCAGTGTGGTTGAACGCTAGAGCCATCTCTCTATGTTTGTATGTTATGGAGCTACTGGCTGTATAGTTCGTCCCGCTTTTTGTATAGTCGGGACCATTCGTCCTCGCTGCGCTACATCAACCACCAGAAGCACTAGGGAAACCAAAATCGGGATGCAGGTCTTTCATGGGGTAATGCATTTTCGAGAGCCTCTGATCCCTACTCGATTGAAGACATCGGGCAACGCACAATATTTCAGAGCACAGGAACATAGGTTTGCTTTAGACTGTACGCGTCACTTGTCGGCAGTCGGCAGCAAAGCTTGGGGCTTTTGAGTTTGACACCGCTAACACTCGCGGCCAACTCGTGCGTGCACGGCGCCGGGCGTTGTCACCCATACTCGCGAACTTCATTACTTTATTAGGATGAATGACGGGATGACGCACTCGGTAGCATAACGCGGTACCTACAAGCTCGAGTTTCTACGCGAGCAAGTTTTTTTTTCTAACACCGCCACTGCTACCATCTTCGCATTCACCAGCGACACGAAGATGCCAACCGTGTACGTCGGTGACGAGATCCAATGCACCCACTTGCAACCAGTCGGGATACTTCCGGCAGGCGGGTTGAAGCCTCCAAAAGGGATGACGATGGAGCTCAGCAACGCGCCCAACGTTGTAGCAACAACCACACTGGGCAGTGCGTACACCAGGAGCTGGCCGAGATACCAACGTATTGAGTGACAGCACTAGCCAGTAGTAGAAGAACGTGCTGCAGCCCGTGAAGGCGACGCTCGGGAAGAAGATGATGCAGCCAGGGATGTTAAAAGAACGACTTTTTTTGAAGTGAAATTGTAACCCCAGAATAAAATAAAAATGGCAGTGGTGCAACTTCTTATTTTTACAGGGTCGCCTCAGCCAATGTTCAACAGGCTCGAGAAGTCGATATATTCATTTTTGTCGATATTTGCACAATGCATCCAAAACTTGGGTAATGCGCTAGCATGCATCTAAAAAGGGTAACTACGAAGGCTGGCGATCATACCAGTACTCCTTCATCCTAAATGATCCACGGCAAAATGCATCATACTCAAACGCACATGCATTCAGCCGTTGGTGCCCCGTCGACGACTGCGCGAAGGGTCCCAATGAATTCTACCTACTTCCGAGTGGTGCTCTGCTGCTGCACCTGCTACTCTCTCACTGCTTACGACGTGGGTTTATACTTCTACCACGGTACTTTGGAATTTAACCGCAAAGAGAGAGCAGCTAAAGCGTCTGGGGACGCTACCGCTTGTGATTGCTCAAAATAGCTTACCGATAGGATGCCTTCTGTAATTTACGCTAAAAAAGGAATCTACATTTCTCAACAACTACTGCACCGACGGATATCGAAGCACCAGTGATCACTTTCTCTAAGTTAGTTCTTTCGAGCGATATAGACTTTGTCATTGTTGGTTCTGTTTCCATTAACCTAATTTTGCGATTTCTCGGGAAAATACCCTTTTGGGTACATTGGCTGAGGCGACGTCTGATTTTTATATTTTAATATATTTTAAAAAAATAAAAAAGAACATTAAAGAAAACTCAACAAAAGAACTCTTAACATCCCTGAGAGCAGCAGACACGACAAGAACACGTACGGGATCTCGGCCAAAGTTCCAGCGATGAAATACCACAGCGCCGAGTACGTCTCACAAGCTCGTTCCCTGTAGAAAGCGGTGCGCTCTTCCGCGGCTACCGGCATGACGCTTTTGAAGCTGATGAGACCGAGGAAGACCGTATCAAACTAAGGTTACGGCACCATTAGTCGGTGCCTTGGTAATAGATATAGTGAATATCCCTGTCGACACGAGGCTTACTTGTGTTGCGTTGTGCGCCGAGTTTTGAGTGCGAATGCACTCACCAATGTAAGCCAAAACTGGGTGTTGCCATCAGCAGCATTGTCTATCATCGGCGTGCGATTTCGATGCTCGGGTGCAAGGCTTTGCTGTGTGACGGACATTCTCGCAGCTGGTGCTTGAGTGTGCGCGAAAGTTTGGTCCGCCGAGACACTGCTGGCGATTGCGGTGGGGGCTCCTAGTGTCGCTGTGGGTAAGGCCGACGAAGATCAAGCGTTCCACTGAGGGTTCGAGTCTCGCCCGGAGCGATTCCGATACAAAAGCCACGTACCGGTAAGTCTATTTCCGACCCCCGACTACCTCCATCACTACATCTCCTGGAACCCCCTAAGTCACCCCCTTAACCTCTGCAACCGCATCCCCTCAAACCGCCGCCTCACCACGACCTCAGGAAGGGAAACCGATCAACTAGGAATAGTTTAGGGCAACTCAGACGTCAAAGGGCCAGCTTCCAGCAGGCTCCGAAATACGTGCCTAAATATACGCCACCAGGTTAAGTTCCTGGGGCCTTCTCTCACTGCTGACGTTTGCGGCAACTGGCGAGTGTCTCTCTTTGGCAACAGGAGCGATGCACTCGGTGTACATGCACAACGAGAAGTGTGCGTTCGGTGCATAAAGGCTTGGCGTCGTCTGCGAGTGCAGATTTCGGCCAGTGCAATGAGTCCGCCCAGCTGTGCGCGGGCTGAGTAGCTACAGGAGCAGCAGCAGTATCACCGGCAAGAACGTGCACTTTCGCGAAGCGGTCCGTCATGCAACCCCCGAAACCCTCGCAACGTCTGGGATAGCCTTGCTAATAATACGGCAGCGCCAGCACCGGACTTACTCGTCCTGCGCGCGGAACCCTCCGCTCTGCATGATCATTCTGCAGTGCTCCACGATGAAGAATGCTCCACGATGAAGAATGCTGGGATCGCGCAGACTGCTGGTGCCGCCGCTTCAACACTGGCAAGGGTTTTCTCGACACCAGGCCACCTGCCGCGCTCTGCGGCGTGATGGCGGGCAGCGCCCTGCCCAACCCAGCCGCTTGCAGCTCGACGGCGGAAGTGGTTGAACTGCAGCTCGTGGCCGTGCCAGCGTATCCCCCCCCCCCAGCATCAACGGGCCCGACAAACGACAACCCTCAGTCTTATTCAGAGGTTTGTTTTCATCTGTCCACACAATCATCGTATGTAGTAGTTCTTGATAGGAGGATATGCTAGTATAGAGGCATTTATGCTAGGATAGAGAAACTTAGAGATCTAAACCATTCCAAACAAGAGAAAAAGTCAGACTGCAGCCGCGACCGGTCGACGCTCGATTTTTGTCGCCTTTTGGGGCCAATCCGAAGGGTCAGCAGAATCATATTCGACCAACCGCAGCGCGCGAAATCTATCGAACCGACCCATACGGTTTCCTCGCCAATGACCAAATCCCCACGCCACGGATCCCTTCGCGCCGTCGCGCAGTGTGTAACTCGCTAGCCAAGCAGGGAGCAACCCGCGTGTTGCCGGCCGCGCTGACATCGTCCGCCCCCCCCGCTTCTCTACGACGAAGAGACGAGTCGGAGAGCGCCAGACACTTCCCTATCTCTCCTCCAGTCCAGACGCAGGTCAGCAGCCATGGGCGCCGCCATCATGAAGAGCTGCTTCGCCGGGGAGCCCGCGGACGCCCCGCGCCGGCTCACGCACCACCGTCACCACCACCAAGTGCACGCCACAGCGCACCACCACCATCACGAGGCGCGCCGCCGCCACGAGCAACCGTGCACGCGCACGCTGGCCAAGACCATGCCGCCCTCGGCCGCGACTCCTCCGCTGCCGCAGCACACGCGCAGCCGCACAGACCGCCGCTCCGCCGCCTGCCTCGAGTCGCCCGACAAGGAGCTGCTGGCCAAGAAGAAGAAGACGCACGCGGACCGCCACGCGCTGGAGCTGGCGCACACGGCCGTGCGGCTGCAGCAGCTGGGCCAGGACGCGCCCAAGAAGAGCCTGGCCGGCTCCGTGTCCTCCGAGGCCGCCACCATGTCCGAGAGCTCGTTCGTGGCCGACTCGCCGTCGCACGCCGCCAGCCCTGCGCGCGTCTGCCGCGCCAGTCCCACGGGCCGCTCGCCGTCTTCGGGCGCTGCCGCGGGCTTCCGCGCGCTGCTGCCTGACGAGTACGTGCTTGAGTGTGTGGCCGGCAAGGGCACGACCTCCACGTGCTACAAGTGCGTGCGCAAGACCGATGGCCGACGCTTCGCTTGCAAGATCATCGAGAAGAGGAAACTGGCCCCGTCGGCCAGGAAGCGCAGGGAGGTGGCCGCCCAGCTGCGACGAGAGGTCGACGTGCTCCGGCGCGTGGACCACCCGCACATCGCCAAGCTGGAGCAGGCCTTCGAGGACGACAACTACCTGATTTTGATCATGGAGCTGCTGGAGGGCGGCGAGCTCTTTGACGCCATTGTGGACAAGGGCCGCTTTTCGGAGCGTGAAGCTGTTCACGTGGCTCGCTGCGTGCTCTCGGCTATCCAGCACATGCACGAGCGTGGCGTCGTGCACCGCGACCTCAAGCCCGAGAACATGCTGCTGGCGGTCTCACCACGCCGTCGGCGCGGCGCACTGGACGTCAAGATCATCGACTTCGGCTTCGCCAAGGTGCTCAGCGAGGGCGCGACGTCCACGTCCTTCCTGGGCACTGGGGGCTACTTGGCCCCTGAAATTCTACTACGGCAGCCGTACGGCACTTCCGTGGACATGTGGTCCTTCGGGGTGCTCACGTACTTGCTGCTGTGCGGCCGACTCCCGTTCGCAGCCACAACTCAACTGCGGCCCAACCAGAAGATCCAATCGCTGTACAAACTGACCTTCCCCAAGAGGTACTGGCACGGGGTGAGCCCCATGGCCATCGACTTCCTTCAACGCGTGCTGGTGCTAAACTCATCTGCGCGGATGACTGCCACTGAGGCGCTGAACCACCCGTGGCTCCGGTGCTGAAAGTGGCCAACACAGAGTTAGGTATTTATTCAATGCAGTTTATTGTCTTGAAGAATGAACGGAGCTGTCATCTATGTAGTAAATAAACTGCGTGGGCATAGTTACCTTGTTGGTAGATGGAGAAACATGTTCTATACGAATGTTATCAATGTATCAACTTTATTTGGTTCCTAGCGTTTGAGATGGCTGATGTACCGCAGCGACAGTAGCGCAAGCAACCGGAATACTGCGATGAGAATGACGAGAATCAGCACGTTCCTGGAGATGTGCTCGTGCTTCATGTTGAATGCCGTCTCCACGTACTGCTTCAGCGTGATGTTGCCGACGGTGGGTGGCGCGTTCTTCAGAACTTGGCAACCGAGATTGCTGCTGGTGCTGTCGGGGCAGTCGGCGAAAACCATAGCAACAAGGGTTGCGATGCTGTACGTCGGCGGCGAAATGTAGTAGATCCACTTGTAGCCGATCGGAATGTTATTCGCCGGTGGGTTGAAGCCGCAGAACAGCATGAAGATGGAGCTCAGCAGCGCACCAGCAATTGTCGCGACAGCTACGCTGGGCAGTGCATACACCAGCAATTGGCCCAAGTATACGAAGAGCAGCGCGTTGAGTGATACCACCAGCCAGTAGTGGATAAATGTCGAGAACCCGGTAAAGCCCACGCTCGGGTAAAAGATGATCGAGAAGCAGAGCGCAGATAGCATAACGTACGGGATCTCAACCAGCGTGCCGGCGATGAAGTACCAGAGCGCATGATAACTCTCGCTTGCGCGTTCACGATAGAATGCGGTGCGTTCATCGGCAACTACAGGCATCACGCTGTTGAAGCCGATGATGCCCAAGAACACGGTGCTGATGAACACAAGCCCCGCACCAGCATTGGCCCCGGTAAACGTGGCGTAGTCAGTTGCTTGGTAGATGAAGCCGAGAATGGCCCCCAACATGACGCTGATCATCAGGCGCGTCAGGTTGTACGTCGGCGTTCGCCAGTACATGTGGAAGAATCGGCGACACAGCATGTCGAACTGCATCATGGGGGTAGAAGCAAACTGCTTGCTGAATTTCAGCTCGGGTAGATCCGAAGACGGACGAAGGACGCCATCTTTATCCAGATCCTTGTCCATCAGCGTCTTGAGATCACTAGTTGAGAAATACTCGGCAAAATCCATGCCGTTGCCAGACCCACCGCCAACACCAGCCCCAATGCACTCCAACATCCACGTCGCCGGGTTGTATCCAGGCTCGATCGGCTTCACACCCGGAGCTGCCTCGAAGTAGTTGATGAGGTTGCTGGATTCCTTACCGAGTTCCCCAAAGAATACCATGCGACCTCCTCGGCGAAGCAGCAGAAGCGAGTCGAAGAAGCTAAACACTTCAGAACTGGGCTGGTGAATGGTACACACAATGGTTCTTCCAGAGTTGGCGATCTTGCGCACACCATTCATGATGAGCTTGGCCGAACGTGCGTCCAGACCACTGGTGGGTTCGTCCATGAAGATGATACTAGGCTGCGCAACGAGTTCCACGCCGATAGTAAGACGCTTCATTTGCTCCGTGGATGACCCGCGGATGATCTTGTCAGCGATGGGCCCCAGCTCCAGCAAATTGATACACTCGTCCACCGACTCCATTTTTTCCTTCAACGGAATGCTCGCGTTCTGACGCAACATGGCTGAGAACACGAGAGCCTCCCGAATCGTTGCCGATTCCGAGTGGATGTCCATTTGCTCGCAATACCCCGTGCATCGACGAATGGCGAGATCGTTCGCAGGATACCCGTTGAGCACGATCTTGCCCCGAATTTTGCCTCCGGTCTTCCTACCAGCGATAACGTCCATCAACGTCGTCTTGCCTGCACCGGACGATCCCATGAGAGCCGTCATGGTTCCTGGTTTGGCATATCCAGACACCCCTTGGAGTAGGTCGATGTCTTCCCCTTTCTTCCCGCCGGGCATTGGCACGGAGTACCAAAGCTCATGAAACGCCAGCGTGACGGGCGGAGCTCTTGTCCTTGGAGTCATTATAGGAACAGTGACGTGCTCTTCGGGGGCAGGGGCGACCTTGCTCGTGTTTATCTTGGCGTCCGCTGGTCCTTCCTTGGCGTCGAGATCAGCTTGCACTACAGTTGTGCTCTCCGGGCTCTCGTAACGTTTGTATTCAAGTACGAGGTGGGCTCCGAACACAAGCGCAAGATACCCGACGACAAAGTACAGCCAGCCCAAGTAAATCCACATTCCTTCCGTCGGCAGTCCGGAGAGCTTGAGGCTGTACTTGCCGAATGTGGTCCCGAAGTGACTGCAATAATCAATGCCACCGTAGACACACACGTCGAATTTGGGGGCCAAGTACTGGTTCACGCTCAATGAGCGGATGCTCCACGCGACGGCATCGACCCAGTAGAACCAGATAAAATAGTCGGGGATGTCGGGCTTCCTCAGGAGAAATCCGCCAAACAATACGAAAAATAAAATGGAGACCATCATCACTGGCTGGGCGATCGTGATGCTCGGAGCAGCGGCCGAGAGGAAGAAAAAGAAGGCCGTGAACCACATTTGGCACAAGAAAAGCGTGACCAGGAAGGAGATGAAGCGGTCTCCGAGGGCAACGTAACCTCCCATCCAGTACACGAGTGAGCCAAACAGCACGGTCTCGAAGATGGCGAAGGGGATCTGCGTGAGCGATGAAGCCATCACGTAGGCCAGCGATCGGAAGAAGTTGGCTCCGCGCTGTTTGTAAAATACGCTTCGGGCCTCCATAAATGTCGGCAACTGCGCAGCTTGGCCCATGGAGAGGAACATTGTGCACGAAAAGAGAAGTCCGAGGATAAGCTGGCTGTTGGCATCATTCATCTGCCAAAACACGGAGCCGTAAAGTAGCCCCATGATCAGCACCATGAAGCCTCTGCCGATGATGAAGGTTCTGTCACGGAGTTTGATTCTCCATTGACGGCGTAGAACTGTCCCTAGATCTTCAAGAAACGATTGTCGGAACACACACGGGTCCTCGAGCGGATCAAAGAGGTCCGATTTGTGGTTGGAGCGCGTCCTCATGTACGTCAACGTGTCTTGGAAAATATCCGACTGACGGAAGCGCTCTGCAAAGTCAACCGCCTCAAAGGGGACGGTTGCCGCGGTGTTTGTGTCGCTGATGTAGGCATGCTGCTTATCCGTTCCCAGATCCAGCAAAAAGTCGGCCACATCCTTGCGCGGTGGGCAGTGGAAACCCATTTGTTCGAAATACGGCTGCACTTCCTCACGGGGACCATGATACATGATGCGGCCTTCGTTCATGATCAGAATGTCGTCGAAGAGATTGAAGACCTCTGGTGGTGGCTGCAACAGAGACACCACGATGTTGGCCTTGAAGTGCCGCGTTAAGCTCTTGAGCGAGTTCACAATGTCGTACGTCGTGGCTGCATCCAGTCCCGTGCTGATTTCATCCAGAAGCATTGCTCGTTTCCGGCCGAATGTCATCTCACCCGTGGTGACACGCTTCCTCTCGCCGCCAGACACACCGCGAACCATGGCGTTGCCCACCATTGTGTCTTTGCATCGGTCTAACCCCAACGACTTCACACGCAGATCAGCAGCAAACTTGTGATGCGCTGTCATGACCTTGACTGCGATTTCGTGTTGTTCTCCGGTGCAGTTTTGCAGAGCTTTGAGCACCCATGGTTCCAGATTGGCGCCACCGCAGCATCTGTGAGCAAACTCAAACGTCTCCTGGACTGTGAGTTGCGGGTAGTGGTCATCCTTCTGGTTGGTGTAGGCAATGAATCGTGGCAGTCGGGACAGTAGCTCTGCTCGGGGTTTGCCGTTGTACGTGATCTCGCCGGAGACACCGATAGTCTTGTTCATGGGGAATCGACCACTGAGAATCTTCAGCAGTGAGGACTTGCCTGAACCGGGCTGCCCCAGAACGAGCGTGATGCGAGTCGGCTTGAAAACCCCCGTGACGCCGCGTAGGATCTCCTTCTCTGTCGTTTCCTGGCTCGAGAAGCATTTCATCACGCCTTGTTGTATCTGCGTCCAGATTGTTGGGACTTGGGGTCCTTCGGACCCTGGCTTGGCTACTGGTAGACGAGCTGAGATGTGCAGGTCGCGGAAGAAGATTTCTACCTCTGGAATCGGTCTTCCTAGTGTGTTCTCGATTGCTGCAGCCACGCTCTCATGCATGGCGAGCATGCCACCGGCCAGCAGCCCATCGACGCTTGTGAAGTCGGGCTGCGCCATGTTTAAGTGTACGATTTCACTTTGCCGATGGTAGCTTACGGTAGCGGCAAGAACTTGGTTTCCCTCGGGGTGTTCGGTATGAAGAATGAGCCGAGTCCAAATCGATCAACAGCACCCGCATGAGACTGTGTGGTCATTGGTTTCGCTTCATTGTGGAGGGTATTGCTTGGGGCTGTTGTAACGCGCTCCCCCCCCCCAAATTACACTTGAGCTGCTCATATATGGCCCGGTGGTTTCGGCACAGAATGCTATCGACGGGAACACTGAGTGCAGGTGAGACGGACCTTGGCATCTCGACCTTCGCCGCCTTAAGCTTGCATCTGAGTCTGGCTGACACGCACCATAAAAACAAGAGCACGAGACCCGCCGCCCTCGGCGATCCCTGGTAAACAGCGCTCGCCGATTTGGATGTAATCACACGCCCAATCAGGATCCAGTCACCATCGGCCTGCACCACTTCGCGTTCTGCTCTTCCTGCACCACACACTTCAAGGTTCTTGCTCTCCACTGAGAGTGAAGATGTGGTCTAACAAGCAGGGCGAGTCGCTGGGTCTTTTCCCGGGCCGCAAGACGCTCGGCCCGCTGCTCCTCATGACGGTGACGCCCCCGGCCGCCACACTCATCACGCACGTCTTCGTGGAGCACGGCGGCTCTGTCGGCTCCTTCCTCGCTGCTGGCAAGTCGCTGTACGAGATCTGGCCAACGCCGTGGGACCCAACGGCCTGGAAGCTCATCGGTAGCTTCATGGCCACGCAGCTTGTGCTCATGCGCGCGGTGCCCGGCAAGACGTCGTACGGGCCCGTGACCCCTGGCGGCAATGTGCCCGAGTACAAGAGCAACGGCTTCCAGTGCTTCACGCTGAGTCTGGCGCTGTTCCTGGCCGGCGCCTTCGTGTTCGAGCTCTATCCGGGCGGGATCGTGTACGACTTCATGCCCGAGATCATATCGGCACTCAACGTCTTCAGCTTCATCTTCTGCCTCTTCCTGTACGCCAAGGGCGCATTCCTGTGGCAGTCGTCGAGCGACGCTGGCACGTCGGGCAACCCCGTCTTCGACTTCTACTGGGGCACTGAGTTGTACCCGCGTGTGCTGGGCTGGGACGTCAAGCTCTTCACCAATTGCCGCTGTGGACTCATGTTCTGGGCGGTGGGTGTGCTCTCGTATGCCTGCAAGCAGCGCGAGATGTACGGGTACCTGAGCGACTCAATGGCCGTGAGTGTGGCGCTGCAGCTCGTATACGTGGCCAAGTTTTTCTGGTGGGAGGCCGGCTACATGTGCAGCATCGACATCATGCACGACCGCGCCGGGTACTACCTTTGCTGGGGCTGCCTGGTGTGGGTGCCCTCCGTCTACACGTCGCCAGCCATGTACCTGGTGCAGAACCCCATCAGTCTGGGAACGCCGCTGGCGCTCGCCATCTTCACCACGGGCGTCCTCATGGGTACGTCGCCTCATCATCACTGCAATGGTCTTTCGTGACACGAACTAACTCACTTGTGTTCTGCCGCTTAGTTGGGATCAACTACGACGCTGACCGCCAGCGTCAGGGCTTCCGCGCGGCCAAGGGCAAGACGAACGTGTGGGGGCGTCCGGCCCAGTTCATCGTGGCGCGCTATGAGACGGAGAAGGGAGAGAAGAAGCAGAGTTTGCTGCTCGCGTCGGGCTGGTGGGGGTTGGCGCGCCACTTCCACTACGTGCCGGAGGTGCTGGGCGCCCTGTGCTGGACGCTCCCGGCGCTGGCGTCCAGCCCGGCGCCATACTTCTACTGCATCTTCCTTGCTGTCCTGCTCACCGACCGCGCCTACCGCGACGACGCCCGCTGCGCGCACAAGTACCGCCAGGACTGGAAGAAGTACTGCGAGCGCGTGCCTTCGCTCATCCTGCCGGGACTGCTCTGACTCACTTCAACTTGCAGTGCCAAAATCTCTCCATTGGTAGAACAAACGATTCTTTCACCAATCATATCGCAGGATTTTGATTTTAGGACTCTCCTGGTTGGCTGAAATAAATAAGTTATTTCACCAATCGAATCGCCCCGTTCAGTTCCGCAATTCGCTTGACACGGCACTTCCGCTAATGCGCCTCCGCCACGAGCCATGGACTGGAGCTCCGTGTACGAGAACAGCGGCGAGGAGGCCGGCAACTGGGAGGACCACGGCGAGACGCGCTCCTCCCGCAACGCACACCGGCTGCTGCACCGCCAGGCGTCGCTGCCGCTGGCCAAGCAGCAGCAGGCGGCCGCGCAGTACTCGCCGTACGTGGCCTACGCCTTCACGGTCAACTACATCCTGGGCGTGGGCTCGCTGGGCATCCCCTACGCCTTCTACCGCGCGGGGCTCGTCATGGGCAACGTCATGATCGTGCTGGTCACGCTGCTGTCGTACATGACGGTCATGTGGGTCTGCGAGACGGTGGCGCGCGCGAGAGAGGCCTTCGTCATGAGCTTCCTGCTGGACGAGACGGCGGCGCTCAAGTCCTTCTCCTACTCGTACTCGTCCGCCAACTCCACGCCCTTGCCGTCCTCCTCCAGACGCAGCGCTGTGGTCGAGTACGACGACTTCCCCGAGGTCACGCAGCTCTGCGACCGGTTCCTGGGTTCCGTAGGCTCCAAGATGTACCAGATCTCGCTGCTCGGCCTCATGTACGGAGGCCTGGTCGGCTACAGCCAAGTGTTCGTCAACACGTTCCTGACGCAGGTGGATCACATCGGGGACTGGGAGCTCTCCAGCGTCCACGCGGCCATCGTGTTCGCCTGCATCGTGGTGCCGCTCTCGTGCTCCGACCTCACGGAGCAGATCTACGTCCAGCTGACCATGTCGGTCGTACGCTTCGCTGCGCTACTGATCATGATCTTCAGCGCTGCCTATGCGGTCTACGGAGACCCGTACGACAGTGGCGCCACCCTGGAGTCCGCCCCCGAATCAGCGCCGTACGTCAGTGACTTTTCGCTTGTGGATCTCTCCGGATTCGGTGTCATGTTCAGTACGAGCGTGTTCTCGCAGTTGTTCCAACACTCGGTGCCGGGTTTGTTGGCGCCGCTGGGGGCGAAGAATCAGGAGAAGGCGCCGGCGATCTTCGGAAGCACGCTGCTGACGACCATGGTGTTTTACATCGCGTTGGGCTCCGTGTGCTCGCTTTACTTTGGACCGAAGCTTGCGACGAGTGTGAATTTGAACTGGGCGGAGTTTACGTGGGGAATCAACGAGTCTATGACACTCGTGCCGTTGTGGGCAAAATTGTTGTCGATGATCGTTGTGGTTTTCCCAGCTCTCGATACGTTGAGCGTGTTCCCGCTCATCTCGGTTACGCTTGGAGATAACATGGCCGCTGTGTTGCCCAAGCGATGGACGCGGGGTGGCAGGAGGTCTTCCTGGAAACTCTTGTGCCGATTTGGTGCCGCCCTGCCGCCGCTGCTCATTTCGATGTTTGTTTCGGACCTGTCAGTGACGCTGCAAATCAGTGGGCTGATGGGCATCTACGTGGCATTTTTTGCGCCGGCGCTGTTGCAGTTGCAAGCGAGTCGTGAAATCTCAACCAGCAACATTTACAGCGGCAGATTTAGTGGAGTGGGCTATGTGCATGGCGTGCTCGTATTTGGAATGATGGCATTACTCGTATTGCTCTACCAGCTAGTGCTCCAGATCGCTGGGTGATAGTAACGAGGCGACTCAGGTGACTTGGACGCTGACGATGTTTCGAATACCCGCACGGAATTACGCTGCATTTGAAGCCGCCCTGCGTGGACAATGGCAAGAGGAGTAATGCTTAGACGGACGCTAGTCCTGAATATTGTCCTCCCCCCTGGTCGATTCACGGTGGCTGAAATGGTAAAATGATTATGTATTGACTTGAACCGCAGATTATATTTTCTTTTTCGTCCGAGGCGATTCAGATCGCAACACCAGCATATGGAACGCCGAAGCCGATTCTTTTACACTGTGGAGCTTGTCCAAGTTTCGTTTTGTGCTCTGCTGGTGCTACTAGACACCGGGGAAACGCCCCAAGAGTCTTGAGGACAAATGTTGACCTGGGACTAACTCCCCTCGAGCAACCTTTTTAATCGTATCCGCTGCTGTGAACAAGATCCAAATCGAACAGAGGATCTTGTGTGGTACAAAGGTAACTATCTGTATTTCTTAATTTTCATTGAACCCCTGCGCTGACTGACCTACTTCACCTTAACGCTTGAGGTGGCTGATGTAGCGGAGGGAGATCAGCGCCAGCACGCGGAAGACCACGATGAGGATGATCAAGATCATGGCGTTTCGCCAAATGTCGCCGTGCTTCATGTCGAACGTCTCCTCCACGTACTCCTTGAGCGTCATGTCCCCGATCGTGGGCGGCGCGTCCTGCAGCACGTCGCAGCCCACCTTGTCGCCCGAGCAATCGCCCAGCACGAGCGACACCAGGATGGCGATGCTGTACGTCGGCGGCGAGATCCAGTGGACCCACATGTACCCGGTCGGGATGCTGCCGGTGGGCGGGTTGAAGCCGGCGAACAGCATGAAGATGGAGCTCAGAAGCGCGCCCAGCGTCGTGGCCACCGCCACACTCGGCAGCGCGTACACCAGCAGCTGGCCCAGGTACACGAACACCAGCGCGTTCATGGAGACCACGACCCAGTAGTAGAAGAAGGTGATGTAACCCGTGAAGCCGACGCTCGGGAAGAAGATGACGCTGAACAGCAGGCTCGAGAAGAAGATGTACGGGATCTCCACCAGCGTGCCGGCAACGAAGTACCAGAGCGCATTATAGCTCTGGCTAGCACGCTCACGATAGAAAGCGGTGCGCTCGTCGGCGGCCACGGGCATGACGCTGTTGAAGCTGATGATGCCCAGGAAGACGGTGCTCACGAAGATGAGACCGATGCCGGCGTTCGCTCCGCTGTACGTGCTGTAGTCGGTGCCCTGGTAGATGATGGCGAAGACGCAGGCCAGCACCACGCTGATCATCAAGCGCGTGAGGTTGTACGTCGGCGTGCGCCAGTACATGCGGAAGAAGCGGCGGCACAGCAGCTCGAACTGGACGTAGCCGCTCGAGGCGCGCTTGTTGATAAACTTGAGCTCGGGGAGGTGCGGCGAAGGACGCAGCACGCCGTCCTGGTCCAAGTCCTCCTCCATCAGCACCTTCTGGTCGCTCACCAAGAAGCGGTCGGCAAAGTCCGTCGGCTGCGACGGGTCCGCGTTCGCAGCAGCCTTGCCACCTCCAACACCAGCACCAATACACTCGAGCATCCACGTGGCCGGGTTGTATCCGGGCTTGATCGGGTTCACGCCAGGGAAGGCCTCGAAGTAGCTGATCAGGTTCTTCGAGTCCTCGCCCAGCTCGCCGAAGAACACCATGCGACCGCCGCGACGCAGCAGCAACAGCGAATCGAACAGGTTGAACACCTCCGTGCTCGGCTGGTGGATCGTGCACACGATGGTGCGGCCCGAGTCGGCGATCTTGCGCACGCCGTTCATGATGAGCTTGGCCGAGCGCGCGTCCAGGCCACTCGTCGGTTCGTCCATGAAGATGATGCTGGGCTGCGCCGCCAGCTCCACGCCGATGGTCACGCGCTTCATCTGCTCCGTGGACGAGCCGCGGATGATCTTGTCGGCGATGGGGCCGAGCTCCAGCAGCTCGATGCACTCCTCGACCGACTCCATCTTCTGCGCCGTCGAGATGTTGGCGTCCTGGCGCAGCATGGCCGAGAAGATGAGCGCCTCGCGCACCGTGGCCGAGTCCGAGTGGATGTCCATCTGCTCGCAGTAGCCCGTGCATCGGCGGGTGGCCAGGTCGTTGGCCGGGTGGCCGTTAAGCAGGATCTTCCCTTGGATCTTGCCGCCGGTCTTGCGTCCGGCGATGACGTCCATGAGCGTGGTCTTGCCAGCGCCGGAGGAGCCCATGAGCGCGGTCATCGTTCCGGGTAGAGCGAATCCGGACACGCCCTTGAGCAGGTCGATCTGTTCGTCGTTGGCGCCGCCGGGCAGCGGTACCGAGTACCATAGGTCGTGGAAGGCCAGCGTCACGGGCACGGCGACACCACGGCCCGTGGGCTCAATCGGGATGCTGATGGTGGGGACGCCGCCGATGGCATCGTTGACCTCAATTGCGTTGTGCTGCTCCTTCGGGGTCGTCGGCATCTGGTTGTAGACCATTTGGTCACGGGCGGCCTGCTCGTCCTGCTGGACGATGGCCACGTTCTCGGGGCTCTCGTAGCGCTTGTACTCGAGCATGAAGTACGAGGCGAAGATGAAGACGAAGTAGCCCGCGATGAAGTAGATCCAGCCGTACCAGATCCACACGGAGTCGGTCTGCAGGTCGAAGACGCCGAGGCTGTACTTGCCCATGGTCAGGTTGTACTGCGAGCAGTAGTCGATGCCCTGGTAGACGCAGACGTCGAACTTGGAGGCCAGGTACTGGTTGATGCTCAGCGACCGGGTGCACCACGCGAGCGGATCCAGCCAATAGATCCATATCAAATAGTCCGGAATGTCGCCCTTGGAGATGAGGAAGCCACCGAACAGCATGAAGAAGAGCACGGCCACCATCATGAGCGGCTGCGCGATGGTCAGGTTGGGCGACGCGGCCGAGAGGAAGAAGAAGAAGCTCGTGAACCACATCTGGCACAGGAACAGCGTGGCCAGGAACTGGATGAACCGGCCCACGTCGTCCACGTAGCCGCCGAACCAGTACGTGATGGCGCCGAAGATGATCGTCTCCAGCACACCCAGCGGGATCTGCGAGATGGACGTGGCCAGCACGTACGCGCTCGAGCGGAAGAAGTTGGCGCCGCGCTGCTTGTAGAACACCGACCGGGCCTCGATGTACGTCGACACCTGCGAGGCTTGGCTCATGGACAGGAACATGGCGCACGAGAACAGCAGACCCAGGATGAGCTGGCTGTTGGAGTCGTCCATCTGCCAGAACGTCGAGCCGTACAGCAGACCCATGACGATGATCATGACGGCGCGGCCCATGAGGTACGTCGTGTCACGCAGCGTGAGCGTCACCTCGCGAGCGAACAGCGTCGACAGGTCCTCGGCGAACGTCTGGCGGAACGGCTTGAGGTCCGCGAACACCATCGACTCCTGCACGGGCGCGTCGAGCAACTTGAGCGTGGAGTGGAAGATGCTCGAGTCCTTGAAGCGCGCCGCGAACTCGTCCGACTGGTACGGCACGCTGTTGGATCCTCCGACGATGTACGCGTCCTGCTTGTTGGTGCCGAGGTCCAGCAGGAAGTCGGCCACGTCCTTGCGGGGCGGGCAGTGGAAGCCCATTTGCTCGAAGTAGGGCACGGCGTCCTCGCGCTTGCCGTGGAACATGACGCTGCCCTCGTTCATGAGCAGCACGTCGTCGAACAGCTCGAAGACTTCGGGCGACGGCTGCAGCAGCGAGATCACGACGGTGGCGTTGAAGTTGCGCGCCGCGCTCTTCATGGACTTGCAGATGTCGTAGGTGGCGGCGCTGTCGAGGCCCGTGCTGATCTCGTCCAGCAGCTGCAGACGCTTCATGCCGAACATCATCTCGCCCGTCGTGACGCGCTTGCGCTCGCCGCCGGACACGCCTCGGAGCATGGCGTTGCCCACGACCGTGTCCTTGCAGTTGTCCAGTCCGAGCTTCTTGACCGTCAGGTCCGGGGCGAATTTGTGGTGCGCGTTCAGCACCTCGACGGCGTGCGCGTGGTGCTCGGGCGAGCAGTTCTTGATGGCCTCCATGGCCCAGGGCTCCATCTCCGTGCCGGCGCAGCAGCGGTGCGCGAACTCGAACGTCTCCTGCACCGTCATGCGCGGGTAGTGGTCGTCGATCTGGTTGGCGTACGCCACGTAGCGTGGCAGCACGTCGAGGAGCTCGCTGCGGTCCTTGCCGTTGTAGCTGATGTCGCCGCCGAGCGAGATGTTGGTGTCCATGTGGAAGCGGTTGCCCAGCACCTTCATGAGCGAGGACTTGCCCGAGCCGGGCTGGCCCAGCACGAGCGTGATGCGGCCGGGGCGGAACACGCCGCTGACGCCGCGCAGGATCTGCTTCTGCACCGTCATGTTGTTGGAGCTGCAGCAGAGGTTGCTGAGCCCTTGCTGCACCTGGTTGACGAGCGTCGGCACTTCGAGCTCGCCGCCCTTGATCTGCGGCACCTCGGCCGACAGCTCGAGGTTGCGGAAGCGGACTTCGAGGCCCGGGATCGGGTGGCCCAGCGCGTTCTCGATGACGGCGGAGAGTGTGGAGTTCATGGTGAAAACGCCGTCGGCCATGAGCGCGTCGGCGCTGGTGAGGTCGTCCTTGGTGAGCTGCTGCGGCTCCGGGAACATGCTCTTGGTGCGCGGCAGGCGGTCGTAGTCGCCCATGGAGCTGCTGGAACTGAGGCGGCGCGAGCTGAAGCGGGGCAGGCGGTAGGTGGCGACGTGCGGCGCCATCTCGGGCACGACATCGCCGACGCTCTGGTTGTCGTCTGTGTCGCTGCTGGGCGGTTTGTTGTAGTGGTGCCCCTCCATAGCTGTCGAGGCTGTCGCTCGCTCGGCTGGAGGAGAATTTGGGAATGAGGAGGAAGGCCTGCCACGCCGGACGGACGTGGACTCGGTGGCACCTTTGCGTCAGACGCGGTGGCCCCACATGGCGGCGAGCGAGCCATTCCCCGGCTGGATAGGCTCATGTCTATTCGTCCCCCAAGCGCCCAGGTCATCATCAAGCGAAGACCTTGTGCTCGAACATAACCCATTTTGCGATTACGGCAGGCCAGGCGGACTGACTCAGCGCTTGTATGCCGGCCGAGTTCACCTGTGTATCGCACACAAGTGTAGCCGCACCATCGCAAGAGATTGAGCCGACCGGGGCTGCCGGGGCCACATTTCCTGCTGCAGTTTTGTCATGGTACTTCATGCGTAGCTGAATTACAGACGACATACTTCAAGCTCGATCCTTCATGTGTAGCTGAAGAGTACGGTGTTTCAAGAAACACAAATTCGAAACTGCATTTTCGAAAAGACACTTTGTACCGTATTCATACAAAACCGAGTTCGTGTTTTTAGGCGGGCCCGATGCTACCGACTCCCGAAGTCGCCTTTGCCAGGCCAGGACCAATACTTTGGTGCCCACATAGAGCGCCGAGGCTGTCCAAGCAGCACATGTGGCCTCGTACCACACGGCCGCTGCCGCTGCTACCGTTGCGTTGCGAGCGTTGTACACACTGTCGTTTTGCTCGCGCGGCAGCCGGCCTGCTTATCTTGATTATGGCAAGCGTAGCGTGGACGAGGCGGGTCGGCAGGAGGGTGGTAAGCCAAAGTGTCCCGCTAACAAAAGTGCGGTAACCTGCCCACAGTCGATATGGATATGTTAGTGGTTACCCTGCAGTTGTGGCGAAGCCTGCGACTGCAGGACTGTATGTGCATGTACTTGGTTTCTCTGAGTGGTCCGTCATGTTAAAAACTGTCTGAGGGGGTCTCCACTTAGTGCCTGCCATCAACACAAGCGGTGGCATGAAGACCAGCTCCTCGACTACCGAAGCAGCGATAGCTCGTCCGAAGTGATGAAAATCCAGCGATATATGTAAATCACCGACCACCGAGCTACGGCTCGACTCAATAAGGCTAAGCGCATGCATTCGCTCTGCTCCCCGGCGATGATGGCCGGTGGTGTATATCGCAGAGCGCGCAGTAATCGTCAAAAACCACATGGAATTCCTTGAATCGTCTTAAAAAGCGCTAAGTGCAGGCACCGCATGGCCGATTGTGCCGGTGGCTCACGGATTTTACACGTGAGAGTAAACCTTTGGCTGGTAGCGCGCAACGCAAATGCATCGCAACGCTTTGCGCTAGGAGAATCTATCTGTGGTTTGAAGGGCCGAGGTGTTGCCGAGATGCAGGTTGCCTTCCGTATGAGAAGCTGGAGCGTTCGGAGAGCTCGCGCAGAGGTTGGCGTCATGGCTTGACTGAAAACTGTCACCGTTCGCTACACGGTATCCAATCAGCCCGGGTGGATTCAGCAGAGCAAGCCAGCCCGTTTAACCGCTTACTCCATCTAATGCACACCGGGAACTCGACTGCAAAAGCGCAGTTTCCAGGCAAGATACGGTGGCGAGGGGTGTAAGCTCGGCGAAGCTGGTCGGGAGCTGCATACCGACTCGGTATTACCTAGAGTGCACCTCGCAGAGTTTGAGGTGTAGTTCCTTGCCGGTCCGGTACGGCGCGCCGGTGAAGATCCCGTACGTCTTTTTTGTTTTGTTCTGAATCATATCCTTCCCGTGTGTCTGCTTCACTGAATGGGGCACGTTCTGGCATGACTGGCTGATGTGGCTGTTGCGACCACGTTGGGCACCGCGACGGAGGCTTGAACCCGCCCTCTGGCAGTGTCCCGACTGGCTGCATGTAGGTGCATTGGATCTCACGCCAACGTACAGGGCTGCCATTCTCAGGCCGCTGATCGGGTGGGGTTCTACAAATGTAGATGTCTAGGCAACGATAGCGAGCAGTTAACATAAGTAGAGGTTCTCTTCACCACCTCGTTGACCGAATGCCTGTTTTGACATGAAGCACAGCGGCATCTGGATGAACGCGGCAATATGTTCATGGTTCGCCTGTACGTGCTGCTGTTGTTGTCACTACTGCTCAACATTTTAACCACTCGAAGCGGTAGAGCGGTGCACGGGTCAAAGCTAGTTGTTGCACGTATGCTGATGTCAAAAAAGAAGTCTCTGAAGCGTCATAAATGATTTCGCCTATGTCGATAATAGGTTCTAATATTTGACACCTAAGTATTGAAGGTGCGTCTAGGCAAAAGTAGCGGGAAGTTGATTGAGGTCTCGTGCATTTTGAGAGCCTACCAAATTAAGTACCGCATGCTGAAGTCGTTGGTCACGGCTCCACTCTAAGTATCACCAGTGTCACCATTAATACGAGGGATGCATCCTCAGTTCCGCTGTTTGAGTCCGTCGAATTGAGCAATCCGCCAATTGAGAAGCGTTCAGTATCCGGTAACCGGTCATCCGCTACCCGCCTAGGCGCACTGAAATTAAGTAAAACACGTGTATTATTGAGTAGGGTGTATGCAATTCGAGGTTCAGCTGGTTGCTTTTACGATACCTCCAGCCCTGTGCTAAAAGGCTTCGTGTGTGACGGGCTCTCGTCACACAGTCGCCTTCGTGCTCAGACGATGGCCAATCAACACTCAGCATAGGTTTAAGTGGACACGGCGGTTACGCCGTGTCAATCAATCAAGCAGAGTTCAATTTGCCTACTACTTCCTCTGCTTGTGTAACCACGTAACGGGCTGCAGTTAGCCCGTTACATCGTGCCTATGGATCGTTGTCGGACTAAGTTATCATACTTAGCGTCAGTGCACACCTTATCCACAGCGAGTTGTATGCTGTCCTTGGCTTCCACCCTCGTTTGTCCGGGCACTTAGCTTGATGTTCTCCTCCTCATTGTACTTACTGAATGGCTAGGTTTCCTCGTCATTGTCGCTGCAGTACCGGTAGTCGCCTTGCTTACTTTGCCTGTGAGTTTACTCGATGTAGTCAGTCTTCCCTGTACTTCAAAGTGCCGGGTCAACCACTAAGCAGTGCATTTAACAGCATAAAGCACACTATCTTAACAACTTGTTGTCATTGCGTGAGTAAAGCGAAATCGTCGAGCTACACCTCCTACCAAGGACCTGCAACCGTCAAGTCAGCGCGTTAATAGGTCACTTGGCCCTTTCCTTGGCTTAGGAGTCTCGATCCTGCAATAAATCCATGAGCAGGGCTCGCTAATAACCGTAGGTACCAATAATTGCAATAACCTTCTGCAATATAACTTACTGACACGACAATTCAAATATAAGTATTCGGTATGACTACCGGAGTAGGAAGTTGGGTTACTTCACAACAAACTAACGAGCTGTCGTTCATCAGCACCACACCTTTAAATGAATCTCAACGGGTGAACACTCCAAAATATATTGAGCGCGATTCTGTGAAAGTCAACTACACCATCCAGTTTCTGGTAGATACTCTCTGCTTTTGTCAAGTTCTTCTTGTTCTCTGAAATTTATTTCAGAGTTTAGGCGATTGGAATCCCTGGTCTGATTAATCCCGTAGCTCATACCTGACCAGCTTGATTCATCGACATCTAGCAGTATATGCAGGGTTTGATACAAATTGACAGTCAAACTGCAGTACAGTGGAGCGGAAAAGACGAATACCCCTCCTAAGATGATATTTTAGGTGAATGTTACCTGTGGCGGCAGGTTGTGTGGAACACCCCAAATAGCTTCATTTGAGCGACCTGAGTCGAAATTTTGCATTAACCGACCAGAATGTAACGATAGAAAATACATCGATCATGTTGCGTCTTTTGATGGACAGAGTACGACTTCACAGCTATTATGATTGTTCTCTCGCTTTCCATTTCGCGTTCGACCACTAAACCAAGCACTGACCACAAAAGTCCTTCTCAGCTTGTATTAAGTCTATCGCGAGCCCAACTCATCAGAAGTCTGTGACCCGGCATTCGACGACTTCGTGAGGCACTACGAGTGCCACGATAACGCCATCATCAAGGCAACGGCCGCCACGGGCTCCTTCTTTCTACGCTCTTCACCCGCGCGCAACGTGTTCACCCCTGCTGTTCTGAACCACGTCGTCACTCACGACTTCAGACTGTCGCCTGGCGTGTTCTTCGCATCTCGACTTGCGAACGCCATCATGCTACCCCACATGCACTTCAACATCGAATTGATCGCTGTCGGACTGATGGTGTCGCTGAAGAGACAGCTCATTAGGAAGGCTTGCGTCGCTGCATCCAGAGCAAAGGGGACTCCAACGCCGCAACCTCTTTTCGTCGGATGTCATCAACGCGGCGTAACGGCGCACCCGAGCGAAGCGAGAGAGGGGCGGGCCCCCGTCTCGAAGTCCGCAGGCGAGAGCCAACGCGAGAGTGTCCTACAGATTCAACATTATTCTAATTCTTAGTATTTAATGACTAATCTTTTAGGCACTTTTAGGCACTTGAGGCACTCTGTTAGGCACGAATAAACCGACGCCGTTCGAGGTCAACGTCGAATGAACCATCCCCATCCAGATCGTGGTTGTCATCTTCATTCCGTACGACCTCGTCGGTGTTGCTGCCTTTGCCGGGCTAGGCGTCATTGTCGACTCGATCGTAGCGGTCTCGATCAATGCCAAAGTCTTCGGAGACAGTTCATAGCACAAGGAGGTCTTCAATGTCATTCAGATCGCCAAGCTGAAAGCGTGGAAGAACAAATTCGCGGATAATTCCTCAAGTCGCGTGTGATAAATAGACTTGCTGCTGAGCGCTGCAAAGTACACGAACTTCCTAACAGCAGAGAGCTCCGTCCTACACGACTTGTGGCGAATTTGTACGCATTCAGCTGAATGGCATTGAAAATATTTAGCAGTACAATGAGACCAGGGTGAAGAGATCCTCTATTTACGTTAGCTGCTAACTATAGAGACCTGAATATGCATGCGCTACAATGAGACCGAACATATTAAGGTAATCTTAAATTTCAGAGCTTCTTCGGGCCGCAGGCACGACTTTGTTTTTTCTTCTTCTTCTTGTTCCTCCTCCTCCTCCTCCACCTCCTCCTGTCCTTCTTTGTATTCCGGGTTCTCTTAAAAGCAATAACTGGGGTGCTGCGGAACAGACCCAAAGAATATCACATTCAATACTTTGATGTCAAATATTAGAACCTATTATCGACATTGGCGAAATCATTTATGATGCTTCAGAGACTTCTATTTTGACATCAGCATACGTGCAACAACTAGCTTTGACCCGTGCACCGCTCTACCGCTTCGAGTGGTTAAAATGTTGAGCAGTAGTGACAACAACAGCAGCACGTACAGGCGAACCATGAACATATTGCCGCGTTCATCCAGATGCCGCTGTGCTTCATGTCAAAACAGGCATTCGGTCAACGAGGTGGTGAAGAGAACCTCTACTTATGTTAACTGCTCGCTATCGTTGCCTAGACATCTACATTTGTAGAACCCCACCCGATCAGCGGCCTGAGAATGGCAGCCCTGTACGTTGGCGTGAGATCCAATGCACCTACATGCAGCCAGTCGGGACACTGCCAGAGGGCGGGTTCAAGCCTCCGTCGCGGTGCCCAACGTGGTCGCAACAGCCACATCAGCCAGTCATGCCAGAACGTGCCCCATTCAGTGAAGCAGACACACGGGAAGGATATGATTCAGAACAAAACAAAAAAGACGTACGGGATCTTCACCGGCGCGCCGTACCGGACCGGCAAGGAACTACACCTCAAACTCTGCGAGGTGCACTCTAGGTAATACCGAGTCGGTATGCAGCTCCCGACCAGCTTCGCCGAGCTTACACCCCTCGCCACCGTATCTTGCCTGGAAACTGCGCTTTTGCAGTCGAGTTCCCGGTGTGCATTAGATGGAGTAAGCGGTTAAACGGGCTGGCTTGCTCTGCTGAATCCACCCGGGCTGATTGGATACCGTGTAGCGAACGGTGACAGTTTTCAGTCAAGCCATGACGCCAACCTCTGCGCGAGCTCTCCGAACGCTCCAGCTTCTCATACGGAAGGCAACCTGCATCTCGGCAACACCTCGGCCCTTCAAACCACAGATAGATTCTCCTAGCGCAAAGCGTTGCGATGCATTTGCGTTGCGCGCTACCAGCCAAAGGTTTACTCTCACGTGTAAAATCCGTGAGCCACCGGCACAATCGGCCATGCGGTGCCTGCACTTAGCGCTTTTTAAGACGATTCAAGGAATTCCATGTGGTTTTTGACGATTACTGCGCGCTCTGCGATATACACCACCGGCCATCATCGCCGGGGAGCAGAGCGAATGCATGCGCTTAGCCTTATTGAGTCGAGCCGTAGCTCGGTGGTCGGTGATTTACATATATCGCTGGATTTTCATCACTTCGGACGAGCTATCGCTGCTTCGGTAGTCGAGGAGCTGGTCTTCATGCCACCGCTTGTGTTGATGGCAGGCACTAAGTGGAGACCCCCTCAGACAGTTTTTAACATGACGGACCACTCAGAGAAACCAAGTACATGCACATACAGTCCTGCAGTCGCAGGCTTCGCCACAACTGCAGGGTAACCACTAACATATCCATATCGACTGTGGGCAGGTTACCGCACTTTTGTTAGCGGGACACTTTGGCTTACCACCCTCCTGCCGACCCGCCTCGTCCACGCTACGCTTGCCATAATCAAGATAAGCAGGCCGGCTGCCGCGCGAGCAAAACGACAGTGTGTACAACGCTCGCAACGCAACGGTAGCAGCGGCAGCGGCCGTGTGGTACGAGGCCACATGTGCTGCTTGGACAGCCTCGGCGCTCTATGTGGGCACCAAAGTATTGGTCCTGGCCTGGCAAAGGCGACTTCGGGAGTCGGTAGCATCGGGCCCGCCTAAAAACACGAACTCGGTTTTGTATGAATACGGTACAAAGTGTCTTTTCGAAAATGCAGTTTCGAATTTGTGTTTCTTGAAACACCGTACTCTTCAGCTACACATGAAGGATCGAGCTTGAAGTATGTCGTCTGTAATTCAGCTACGCATGAAGTACCATGACAAAACTGCAGCAGGAAATGTGGCCCCGGCAGCCCCGGTCGGCTCAATCTCTTGCGATGGTGCGGCTACACTTGTGTGCGATACACAGGTGAACTCGGCCGGCATACAAGCGCTGAGTCAGTCCGCCTGGCCTGCCGTAATCGCAAAATGGGTTATGTTCGAGCACAAGGTCTTCGCTTGATGATGACCTGGGCGCTTGGGGGACGAATAGACATGAGCCTATCCAGCCGGGGAATGGCTCGCTCGCCGCCATGTGGGGCCACCGCGTCTGACGCAAAGGTGCCACCGAGTCCACGTCCGTCCGGCGTGGCAGGCCTTCCTCCTCATTCCCAAATTCTCCTCCAGCCGAGCGAGCGACAGCCTCGACAGCTATGGAGGGGCACCACTACAACAAACCGCCCAGCAGCGACACAGACGACAACCAGAGCGTCGGCGATGTCGTGCCCGAGATGGCGCCGCACGTCGCCACCTACCGCCTGCCCCGCTTCAGCTCGCGCCGCCTCAGTTCCAGCAGCTCCATGGGCGACTACGACCGCCTGCCGCGCACCAAGAGCATGTTCCCGGAGCCGCAGCAGCTCACCAAGGACGACCTCACCAGCGCCGACGCGCTCATGGCCGACGGCGTTTTCACCATGAACTCCACACTCTCCGCCGTCATCGAGAACGCGCTGGGCCACCCGATCCCGGGCCTCGAAGTCCGCTTCCGCAACCTCGAGCTGTCGGCCGAGGTGCCGCAGATCAAGGGCGGCGAGCTCGAAGTGCCGACGCTCGTCAACCAGGTGCAGCAAGGGCTCAGCAACCTCTGCTGCAGCTCCAACAACATGACGGTGCAGAAGCAGATCCTGCGCGGCGTCAGCGGCGTGTTCCGCCCCGGCCGCATCACGCTCGTGCTGGGCCAGCCCGGCTCGGGCAAGTCCTCGCTCATGAAGGTGCTGGGCAACCGCTTCCACATGGACACCAACATCTCGCTCGGCGGCGACATCAGCTACAACGGCAAGGACCGCAGCGAGCTCCTCGACGTGCTGCCACGCTACGTGGCGTACGCCAACCAGATCGACGACCACTACCCGCGCATGACGGTGCAGGAGACGTTCGAGTTCGCGCACCGCTGCTGCGCCGGCACGGAGATGGAGCCCTGGGCCATGGAGGCCATCAAGAACTGCTCGCCCGAGCACCACGCGCACGCCGTCGAGGTGCTGAACGCGCACCACAAATTCGCCCCGGACCTGACGGTCAAGAAGCTCGGACTGGACAACTGCAAGGACACGGTCGTGGGCAACGCCATGCTCCGAGGCGTGTCCGGCGGCGAGCGCAAGCGCGTCACGACGGGCGAGATGATGTTCGGCATGAAGCGTCTGCAGCTGCTGGACGAGATCAGCACGGGCCTCGACAGCGCCGCCACCTACGACATCTGCAAGTCCATGAAGAGCGCGGCGCGCAACTTCAACGCCA